CGATAGACAATTCAATTTTATCTATTGGTTGGCAGGGATTAAAATTTGTCGCGGCCATATTCTCGACTTAACTATAAATTTTCAAATATTCAAGAATTAATAGATAGTACAATCAAACCAATCATATTGACTGTATACCTCAATAACGCTCGATTAATAATTTAACTTATAATTATTAAAGACCTATAAATATGTTACCGGTCCATTTCAGCTGTTCATAGATTGTCGAATAGGTTTATTCAGCACAAAAACACCATCTGAAACCCCATTGTCAATATTCCATAATACATGAGCATTAGAAACGTATCCACCGTAACGCAGTTGACTCGCAGCAGAAGAAAGTTTATGCTCCGCGCAAAATTCACGAGGATAGTTAATTTCGCACTTATAGTACAATATTGCAAAAGCAATGGTCTATTTTACAGAACAGTAGCTTTTACGGTACCGCTTTATACACAAATATTACGTATTTTCCAGTAAACCCCCTGATTATTAACCTAGGATTACGCATGCTATTGTGGCACTCACCGACGTTAATTTCATTAGCCGTGAATATTATCCATGAATATCGTCCCTATGTAAGTGATCTAGTTGAATGAATACGACTGGCAGCCACAACGTACCCAGACATCATTCACGTAATTATATTAACACACTATACACAGACTCGTTAGATAATTCAAATACTCGTAAAATCGTTTCAATTTAGTTAGACAATGTCATTCATCAAACTACAAATCAATTGCCATATACATTTTACCATTCTCAGCGTACATTTCAAATTCAATAATGCCCAAAATCCTATAACAGACAGTGCCCATCGTGTTCGCGTCGGGATAACGGATATATTATATGATATTACGAAACGTACAATTAGGTACTACGCTATACCAAACACATAGCTAAGGTTGGGGTTTACTATAGGGTTTAAGCTAAATGTCTGATATACTTCCTCAATAGTCCAGATCCTCGTAGGAATACATATACTATGTATAATAGTAGTAATATAATACACCTATAAATACGATTTGTGCATTATGCATGTAGATAGACTAACTTACAATATCCGCGTAGGTATATTATGAAAAGTATTCATTTCCGGTGAAATTTCTTAGCTTCCGGCAGGCGTTAGCTCTCATTTTATTTCACTCAGAGTCAGTTCATGGAAGCAAGTAGGCAGTTCGGGAGGTAGGCATACAGGTAAGTATGCTATATGTATATATAATATATACTATACCGAGTAGACGAAGCACCCAAGACGCGCCGAGTGAAAGACGGCAAAGCCTAGCAACGTGCGGTAACTTGAACGTTGTAATAATGACGCTACTACGATTATGTAAACAAACCCGTTTTACTCGTAGAGACGCGATACGGCATTACAGTGAATTTTGAAAAGTTGAAATTTGTCGTCACTATAAAACCGGATTAATTCACAATAGTACTAATAAAAAAATTCTTTAAGGGGCCTGTCTGGCATCGGCGCCATGTTTGAAAAAGATTGACGTGCCTCTCGCGGATATTTTTCGAAGTTAATTTTTTTCTAATGGTAACGTGTCAGAATAGAAATTTCTATACCGGCAATTACGGTATGATAGTTTCAACGCATGGGTGTAGATTCAAATTTTGTAGTTGAACCCTGGGCACAAGATTTAAATCCAGTTCGGCAAGCGTCATTGGTCCTTTGTGCATTTCGTGCCGCGTCTGACCAATTTTTTGCATTCTACTTTTCAAGTCAACACCATATTTCGCACTCTCACAGCAGAAACTCTGTAACTCTCTAACTCTACATTTTGGGACCCACAAAGTTTCCGACAGTAGCGTCATCTAACCGAACACATATGAACTAGAAGTTTCACGAAAACAGCTTATCCGTGAGGTAAAACGAGTTTCAAATATAACGCGATGCTAATCGAAATTTGCGGGATTGCTCATTCGTATGATTCACAATGAATCGATACAAAAATGTAGTGCACCTAATCGTTATATCTTGGGCTAACTGCGCCTGGTATGCAAAAGTGTATGTTATGAGTCAGATACGAATGATTTGATTTTTACTGATGAGATGTGTTTACATGCGTATACGTGCCAGATTTTACTATTTTCCTTTAAGAATATAAACAGTTTTTCTCCCAATCCATGGCCAGACGTCATAAGGTATCCTTAGCCAGCTTCTATCACAGGTGAACTTTCTAAAAATTATTCTTTTATGCTCCAAAAGTGATTAATCTCAAAACGAAAAATTCCGTAAATGTTCTGGTGTACATCGCATTATTTTTACAACATGGCGCCGGTGGTGGACAGGCCCCTTCATGGACCAGATGCAAACAGCTTTGTAAATGGTATTGAGCGTCGAGTAGGTGGGTTAGTGTAAAATAACGTTTGACGATCTGAAATAAATTTAAGAGAATTAACCGGATCGATACGCTGGAAGCAGTACGCTAATTGTATTATTTGAAACTCGATACAGTGTGATTCGATTTGACAGTTGGGCGACGCTCCGTCTCGACGCCAACTTCATTACGTTCGTAGTGATGCCACGGCACGGATGAGAATGGAAATAATAAAAAGAGGGAGCAACTTCACGTGTAATTGTCTACGTGACTGTGTTACGTTAATATTAAGCTGATGAACCACGTGTCGCAAGTTTAATACAAGGGATACGTGTCTAATTATCGCTTCGCTTCGCGCAAACTCTATGGCTCTCTATGGTACCTTCTCTATCATGGAATTAAATCTACTCTTAAGACTTTGACGTAGAGTAGGATTTTATAACGAAGTATGGTATAACGTTTGAATTTATTCGAATTTATTTGTAATTATAGACAATCGTTAATTGGAAGTTTTGCTTAATAAGGGGATGTCAAGGAAATTGTATGAGAATTCAATAATTTCTAAATAGTTTTTAGTAAAATATTTGTTGGACACTTTCGGTTTTTTCGTGATTTAATAATTATTTTTTTTATTGTGTATAACGTTATTTAATAAACTTACCTGTGTTTTATGCAGGTTCCATTTGTAATTTTCTGATGAGATAATCATTTATTTTTGTGGGTTATCCTATTGCGGATATACACTTGATTATTCGTTTTTTTATTGTTTGGGTTATTTTTAATTGAATTTCAGTTTTTAATATCTGTAACACTGATTGATGTTTTGAGTGAATATTTATTTGAGGTTATTCATATCCTTCTGGAACACGTGGGCATAACGTTACACAAAGCGGAACCCGATTTTGAAGCACCGGATGCTCATGGCGACAACGACGTCGCTAGACTGACGAGTCGTCGCGACGCTCTGCATTGCGCTTGCGTTCTTCACTCGGCATATATATATTCACATTTTAGTACAAATATCACCAAACCTACGCTAGATTTTATGTTTTTGCCGCAGTAGCTAATATCGCTAGGATACCTGTACAATTTAAAAATATCGTATTTTCCATTCTTGCCTTTTATTCTCTATGAAATTTTATTACTACAATATGATGTTTGTCACATACAAGTTGGGTGAAACGTACACAAGCATACCTGGTAAAGAATATATTGAAATTTTTTAACAGCTCTTATATATGTATAACATTAACAAATTTTAATAATTTGAAACAATTATTTTTATCGAAATCAAATATATGCAAAATATTTACGCTCAGATACAAGTGTTTCGATATTCAGAATTTACTCGATAAAAATAATATAGTAGATATTGGTTTATATGGAACAGAGCGGTAACGAATACAGGAATTGGTTTCGTCTGCCAATATACAAATTTCATGGTTATTTGATTGATGGCCACTATGTATACTGACCAAAAATCGAAAATCGAGTCCTGTGACACAACGATTTCCTGTCACAGGAAGAAAAACGAACAAGGAAAAGAAATATAAGTAAAACCCAAAAATTGAACCTTTTTGAAAGATAGTGAAAAGCATTGTAATTTTGTAATGAAAAAAAAATTCTTCATCGCAGATTCGACGTTCCGTTTATCTTTTGACTATCGTGCTATCTTTGCTTGGTCTATAAGATAAATTTCTTTTATGTTTAAACTTCCGGTCTGTGAAAACGTCAAGTTCCTCCTTTCTTCTCGTTTTTGGAAATTGGGTTCTGGCCCTACTCTCCAAGACTAGAACCCTTACTCCGTTTAGAAATTAAACATTCCAGAATACCTACTATCAGACTTACCTTCTCTTACATCTAAATTCTAAAGGGTGTAGCCACCCCTATCCGTCCATGCCAACATCACCCTCTGACAAGGGATTCTTGGGTTCTTGAGAATTCCGCCTATCCCTCCTTGACGAAGAGTTCACTTTCGGTATAAGCAATCTCATACAGCCCTCCGGGTTTCTATTTTTGAAAAATCAATCGATTCATGCATTTTTTTTTTAAACATGAGAACGAATAGCTTTGATAAGTTGTGATTTCAAGACAGGATAACGTTTACATTTAATTTATGTATAAAATTGCAAGATTACGTATTTGGGTAAATACAAAAAATTGTCAAAATTTATATCAAACAAACAGAAATATATCTTGATGGTGATCGAGTGGTCCAAGTTTCGAGATCATTTGTGGCGAGAAATTACAATCCGTTATCGTGCCAATTTTGATTAAAAGCACGGTCTTATGGGCCGAGGGTGAAATATACCGAAAATGCTATTCAGCCCTTGGAAAACATCCCTTCCTACGTAGAATGTTTTGGTCACTACTCATCAATCTTTTAACTCGCCCCGTAGATCCAACCAATTAAGGAAATTCCAGGCTCAACGGGATTCTGGATATACATGATATCGTATGTTGCTTTCGACCATTCCGGTCCAATTTCTGTATAGGGAGCGTAAGGTTATGCGGCAGCCAAACATAAAAGACGCCATTATAATTTACTTTCCTTATGCACCTTATACTCTCGTTTCCGAGCCTCTTGTATCTTCCTTATACAATTTTTTATATCTCGTAAAAAAAAAAGTAGACGGGCAATAGAAATTTATAATGAATTAAAACAACGAATTATAATTATTAAACACTTTAATTTTATTACGGAAAAATATCACATAGTCGTATCTCATATAATCCAGACAAACAATGAGTCCCCACGTTGTTCATATAATTTTCCAAAAAAAAAATAAGTGCAATAACTCTCTTGAAGCCAAACCACAATTGATATGTACGTATTCATTTCGTATACAATTTTCTCGGGTTCGTCACAATATATCTCTTGCCATAATTCATTTCAAGTAAAATCACGCAAGCATATTCTCGACAAAATTATAATACTATTCTTTCTGATCCTGTATCCGAACCACTCGTACTCGTATATACAGTTATACAAAAGAAATACATAAGTGAACTGATTCAGTGATGATATCCACCACCAAAATCAGACAGACCATGGCCGCCTCCAAATCCACCGCCACCACCGCCTCCGAAGGAACCACCTTCATGGCCATGAACGAAGACAGGATACGACTCCTTCACGATATACGGGACCTTCACTGGGTACGGAACCTCCTTATGGACAGGTACGGGTACCTTTACGGGAACACCGACCGGGTACGGCACTTTGACGGGCACATTGTAAGGTACCTTGTATGGTACTGGAACGTGTTTTTCAACGGGTACCGGTACATGCTTCTCAACGGGCACAGGATACGGCGCTGGTACGTGATAAGGAACTGGCCTATCAACGGGGACCTTGACGTGAACAGGATAAGGAACCGGAACGTTCCTCTCTACTGTGTACGGTTGTGGAACTGCTACGGAGACTTCTCTGTGTATAGTGATTGAAGAGATCCGTCCACCGTCGCCACCACCACCGCCACCGCCGCCGCCGCCACCTCCTCCGAATCCTCCGCCGCCTCCTCCCAATCCAATGCCACCTCCGCCAAATCCACCGCCACCTCCTCCGTATCCACCGTGTCCACCCAAGTCACCGAAACCGCCAAATTCACCACCTCCGAACCCATGACCGCCGCCCAGACTCAGCTCCAGACCACGCTTGCTTTTGGCATCCTTAGGCTCAGCCTCCTTCTTCTCAGGTTCCTTCGTCGCGGCTAATACCGCCGTGGCCAGCAGGGCGAGAATTACGAAGACACTCTGAAAGAGAAAGTTTTACTTAAAAAAATTTGTTAACTCGAAAAATTTCTAATTATCAAATTACACTAGTTTCTTGGTGTTTTTGTTCGAATCAAGAGGCAAGTAATGTAACGCTTGTTTGTAACACATCAATGTAACATTTTTTATCGAATTATATTTTCATATGGAATGTATAATGTATTAGTTCAAGTAGCCCAAGAATTGAATTTTTGTGAATGATAAAAATTTTATCACCATCAAAATGGTTACTTGGCAAATTTTATGTGACGTCACGCTTATTTAACAAATTAATTAAGGCACACATTCTGGCTCACCTGTGGGGTGCTCATGCTGGCTTGAGGTAGTGAACACTGCACCTGAGTCTGGTGATCGCCTGTATATATATACCTGTACTTTCGCTGGATCAGACCCACTCCCCGGAAAATCATACGTCCTCGCAACGCACCGAGACGAAATGCCTTGTGGATGGTAGAGTTCTTACACCCTTTTCCCACGAAACCTCCTAGACTCGATAAACTGGATACTTTCGGCGAAAGAACCGCATATAGTAACAAAAGCAATTTCTGGATTATAAAATGTCCATGATAATTTTTCACAATTGCGAAAAAACAACTGGACGAAGTATCGCGTAAGATGCATTTGTGGAGTAACACCTGTTAAACCGGTAGAGTTAAGAATCTTCATAAGAATTCCTATTCTCTTGTTATTTGTAATACTGCTTCCGCGATCCAGTTTCTCGACAATTTTTTTTTCTCCTCGAATTATGTTTCGTAGGAAACAATTAAGCGAGTGGATTGGGTGCAGAGAGCAAAAGGGATGCAACTAAACTTTCTCCGTGAGCACAGACACGCATGCGTGAACCGCAATTCTGCGACTCCCGGTATCATGCTCGATGACCAGTTAATTAATAAGTTATGCAGACGGTATGCCAAAGGAAGTCATTAAAAAAATATAGGTGTAAGTGAATGTAATAAAAAAAAAAAGGTTACAAAGTTTTCTTTCATTTATTTGTTTCTAATGTCATATTTCAGTTGTTCCTGCGTCCAACACACTGCCCAGTAGGCGAATTTGCATTAATGATGCAAAATTAAAAAAAAAGGTATTCCAGGTAAATTAGAGAAAAAGAAACATAATCAAGGAAGTATTGCACATGCATGTATATCAATCATTTATCAAAATTTCTCCAATGTATGTCTATCGAAAAAATCGATTATCAAAATTACCAATCCATGTATCGTGATTTTTAATTAAATAACGCCTAATTATATCTGCATTAGTTGTACGTACAACTACAAATATTTCATAATTTTTGACCAACGATAACTGAATTTGATATAAAAAAAACTAGGGTCAATGAAATTTACAAATTCGGAGGTTTCATTAACACTAGAAAGACCGAAACTTAGTATATACCTATATTGCCCAAAGCAGTCAAAATGACTGCATTGTGAAAGAATAACTAATGTGTAAAGCAATTTGTTTAAAATTAATTTTTAATATTTTCTATATTATTTACAGTTATATACTTCTGTTCGACATTTCTTTCATGAATTTAGGGTGCAAAAGAAATAAAATAAACAACTTGTTAGAACAAGTATCACTGCATAAAGATTCGAATAACAAGTACTACTTTAGCTTATTGAGCAACTGCGACTTATCAAGTATACGCCCAAATCGACAATTTATCATGTACTTGTATGTTATCATGTGACGATAATCGAAAAAAAGTGATAACTGTTATTTCAATACAGAGCCGAACTGGTCATATAAGAAATTTACTCAATTCAATAATAAGAGTCCTTTGATTATTTAAAATTTCCCAAGCAGTCAAATATAGGTATAACACATATAATATACCGGAAATGAAGGAAGGGGGAGGTAACTACAATTATTAATAAACGCATTTATATGTTATAGAAAAGTCACAAAGTTCTAAGAAATTGTGTCATTATATACATAATTGTTTTTCTAATTGAAATTAAAAAGCAGTCAAAATGACTTCCTCGGGCAATCTAGTGTTAACGTTAACGATGATTCCGTACAGCGTTCAACGACTATATCGTTTCAGCTCGTTTTGCACAGCTGCGCCTCGAAGTGCAGCTCCATCGCATTTGCCAGGGCTGAATCCCAGAACGCTTCTCGCCTCTTAAAGGATACTTTGAGAGTAAATTACGTTTGTTCAAGGGAGAAGGCCGCACAAGGGACGTAAAGGAAAGGGCGTAACTAGAAAACGGCTTCATAAACACCTTCGGCGAGAGCATCCATCCTAGACATCCATATATTCATGAGCCTCGGTTCGACGCTCTGATGCATTTTCCATTATTGCATAAGGTTGCTCCGCGCGATTATTGGAGCAGAACCATAGACTTTTCGATGAGAGTATTTCTTTTATTTTTTAACATAAATTCACTGTAAACGCACGTAATTCCGTCCTTTCATAATCAGAATTGATTTCGAAACGTTGAGCGTCGATCAGGTCCTGTCGATATTGTGATAGGGACATTTTTATAGAATGTCAATCAGCGATTGCAAATCTCTACGATTATATTACGCGAGTGAAAATATTTTTAATTTCAGGTTTTCACTGTGATTTTGGAAAATTGTTTAATGCACGTATCCGATGCACGCGCGTAATAGTGGACGTAATGAGAGACCTGGAATTAAACAGCCATGGTCGAACGCATATTATTAGTTCATGACTCAATGAATGAAATTGAGCCTTTGTCGATTAATGGATTTCTGTCATGCAAATTTATGTAATAGCCATCGCAAGGTGTCACTAAAGTAATTTTAGTGCTATAGTAATTAGTGTATGTACGTTATTACGTACTTTCGTATGATTCTTCATCATGATAGTTCAAGCACGAGTCATCCATTGGAAATGATTAATTAAAAATTGCACCAGTGTGTCCATCGAGAAAAAGAAAAAGTGGTGACACATTATTTGAAAAAAAAAATTTTATGGAAATCCATAAACTCTAATAACCATCGAACCGCATCGGATTTCATCTCCTTAAACCTAAAAGCCTGCAATTTTATTATGGGAATATCTGAAATCGGGTTAAATTCGTTAAAATAAAAACAAATCATAAAGATTGTGACACGCGAATTAAAAATTCTTGAAATTGCAACGGGCAGGATTAATTCTACAAAAATTTTATGTAATTCGCCGTAAGATTTCTTCTAGACGATGATTCACTAATTTCGTTCGAGAATTTCGTATTTATTTTTCACTCACCCTTTATAGTTACCAATAGCTATTCGTCGTTTCGAATAGTTGCACCTGGCTATGGGAAATCAATATTTTCAAATTCAAATATGTAGATTCGAGTTCAGATACATGGAAATTTATTCACATCAATAAACCCGATAAACTATGGATATAACATGCTATATTCTAATTCCAGGGATCGGAAATTTAGGTATACAACTATTTGAGTTTGGCCACGTGAAAGGTACTAGGTACAATTGCCACACGGGCAATTTTTCTTGAAATTATTTTTACTTTCGACATCGTCAACATTCTCTTTCGTGATTACAGCACAATCAGCGATTCTAACTTCCTCGGTGTCATCTGGTTTTGAAAACCAGTTGGCATCACAAGATTCGCATGGTTTAACAATGAGTTTCAAAGTTGCTCCTTGGCCTGACCCCACTCTACGATATTGCACAGTAATTTTTGCAAAGTTAACGCGTACTTTCATTTGTTCCTGGCCGAGTCCAAGATCGTCTTACCTAACCGTCAATGTTCATGAAGGAGAAACGCACGTGGAAGCTTGTTCCAGCTAAGAAAAATTCAAATTGATTGGTTTAATTAGACATTTTATAATAAAGTGCGAGCATGATTTCCAGTTAGAGGTTACAAAACGTGGTAAAAAAAAGGCGATAAAACAAAACCAAGAAAATGAACGAATCTAAATAAAAAGTAATGTCAGTGAATTAGGGTTGAGTAATACCTTAAAGAAATATGAGAATGTTTCAAGAGGAATAAGAGCATCGAAATAACCGGAAGTGCTATCTAATATATCTACGTCTTGTTAACGTATAATTATCCTCTACGGGTAAAAAAGCACTTTCCGCGAAGGTCCGTCGATCTTTCACGACTGTTAGGTAATTTCGAAAGGAACCGGACAATACGACCGCCTTCTCCGGATGCTCACGTGCGCGACTATTAAGAGATCCAGGAAGAGAAGTACTGCGATCGATTGCGCAACAGATCGATCCCGTCCACTCGCTCGAGTGATCCAGAAAACTAGTCCCGGACTCGCGCCGGGAAGTAATAGACGAAGTAACCCGAAGAAGAAGGAGACAAGACAAAGTCGCTGGTGAAAACATACGCTGCTTCCTCTTCTTCGAGGCGGTTCTCTAGCCCGCCGACTGTTCCTTCGGCACGCTCGACTTCTCCGGTGGAGGAGCCACTCTTCGACTCCTTATAAAAGCGAGGGTAACCAGCACAGATTCAGTGTGCTCACTGCCGACCAACATGAACAGCACCGACAGTCTCAAAGTAAGTATAAGATTGGAGAACTGTACCAAAACGAAACAATATTTAATTATATTGTTAACATATTATTTATCTCAGAAAGATTACTAAGATTACGCAGCTTCCTGAAAAATATCAGAGCACAACATTCTTGTTTAAGATAATTCTACTGTGCGGCCTGATAACGCTAGCCGCAGCTGGCGATACGAAGAAGACCGAAGCGACTTCCGAAACAAAGGATACCAAACCAAAACGAGGTCTTGAGCTGAGTCTAGGAAGCCATGGTGGTTTCGGTGGTTTTTCGGATGGCCATGGTTTTGGAGGTGGTCTAGGAGGTGGCTATGGAGGCGGTCTAGGAGGTGGCTATGGAGGCGGCGGTGAAAGTGTAGGAATAAGTCACGAACACATCCCTGCCGTGACGGTCACAAAGACCGTCCACGTACCAGCTCCGTATCCGGTCCACGTGGATAAACATGTCCCATATCCGGTGAAGGTACCAGTGAAGGTACCTGTTGATCGCCCTTATCCCGTCCACGTTCCAGCACCTTATCCAGTCACCGTTGAAAAACACGTACCCTATCCTGTAGAGAAGCATGTACCATACCCTGTCAAGGTACCTGTTAAGGTTCCGGTCAAGGTACCTTATCCAGTCTCATATCCAGTCAAAGTTCCCGTAACGGTACACAAGCCAGTCCCCTACCCCGTCAAGGTTCCAGTGGTCGTCAAAGAGCCCTACCCTGTGATTCTAAAGGGTCACGAAGAGGGTGGTGGTTTCGGTGGCGGATATGGAGGCGGATTCGGCGGTGGACACGATTTCGGTGGTGGATTTGGTGGTTTCGGACATCACTGATATTTCAAATTGAAATCATCAATTAAGCGAAAAATTCTGCATCAGATTAGTACGAACACTCGATCCGAAGCAAAGTAGCGAGAATACGGGTACAGTAGTGTAATGAAAAAGAAAAAAAAAAGATTATCACCAATATGTATTCATGTGATTTTCTCAGATGTATTATACTTTTTGTAAATGAATAAAACATTGTTTTTTACATTTAAAACAAGTAGAATCAGCATGGGCCAGAATTTAGATATTGTGCGTTTATTTACGACTGAATTGCGTATTGATATCGTATAACTTCCGGGTATGGTTTCGAAATGATTCACTTATTTCCGGTACGATTTATATTATCCCACGAGAGTGAGAAATCACTTTCTATTTTGATACGTATTTCCCTTGGCAATAAAGTGAGTGCACTCATTATTTCATCTCCGTGTTCACTCGCTCGGAACAGTAAACATATATGTATACCGCTACCATATAGCATTACGGTTTAAAGCACTTTTCTCACATGCATCTTACGGCTCTGCATCTTTCCTTTTTATGTCCGTTTTTTAAACACAGGAATGAAACCTGCTTGGAGATATCGTGTTACCTGGGCGACTGTCATTTAGCCACTCCTTGGATCTGCTTCCGCGCCTAAGACAGCTTCTGTACCTGTGATAACTAATAGCCCTGTACATAAGAGATAGTGGAATTTAAAATCCAAGAAAGTACTCTCACTATACGTAATAGTAGCACACGTGGTTATTACATACACCTAAGTGCATATATGCTGACATGGTAGCAGATCAACAAATCATATAAACTGTTTCCGGTGCATGCATTGCTCTGTATATTTAATATGAAACTCCCACATTTCTCCTTTTCACGAAAAAAGTCAACCCTCGTAATTAACGTTCGATTACACAAGTGACATTTTCTTTGGATCCCAGCTAATATTTATTGATGAAAAGTTAAGATTAAAATTTTTTTTAAATTATCTAACCCATCTTTTTCTGCCTGACGCTAATTATCGTGCAATCGTTAATGGTATTCACTCATGGAAAATATATGGTTTATAACATATGTAGATTCTTATCCCTCGCTGTTATGTCTGTTACGTTGATACGTAACGGAAGCATATTTTATCTCGTAACATGAGTACGAGTTTTAAAAGGGTGTTAAAGCGGGACTCCTGCACTAGCACGAGATGGATCGGTTAGCAGTCAGTAAATTACATGTTATTTCACTGGCTACAAGATGGGATAATCATATTTAATGTACTAGGAAGCTGACGCAAGAAGGAGAGATTTTCACGATTTAGACCTTACTCGCATAAGTGCAAATCAATTATATACATATATTAATTGAATCATAAAAAATGGTGAAAAAAAATGTATTCCTGGAAAAATCTACCCGAGATTCCTTTTACGTTTTAGACTGGCTAGCGTAATATATAATAAGGTGGGACAATAAGCCTTTCTGATGTTGCATACGTATGCTTATACGGAATTACATAAAATTGAATTCGAAGGATCAAAAGGATAAGGAACTGGGAAGAAAACAAGTCGTGGACCTTTCACATTCTAGAAGCAGCCCTGACTATTCGAAAGCGTTCTCCAAGTTACGTCAAATGTTCATACGCGTACGCGTAATACGACGTTAGTATAACCACAAGGTGGGGAATTATGATTTCCATCATGGCGTCTATTCAGGTGCGCGTGAACTCCCACAGCGTCAGAGATTTCACTTCTTGTTCAAAGTGCAGTGTATAGGTAGATGGATAAGTACTTGGATAGGTTCGATGCGCAAGATACCTCAGACCAGATCGATCATCTCGTAAGAGCCATTAACTGAACTCTCGAGTACGATACTCTATATAGCTATAAATTCCCTAAAGATGAGACTCAATATGAATATATAGCTATATAGCTCGATATGAAACTACGACAGGACGCTGCAACTGCTGGTACGTCAAATTTTCAGAGACCATGGATTATCTAGTTAACTGTTATATGTATTAACTGTAACCATCAAAATGGCCAGACTAGCTAAGCTCAAAGCTATTCAATAACGTTTCTCCTTTTTACCATCCAATCCTGACTAACTCAATACTAAGTCCATCAACTATTTACATGATATCCAAATCTTGCGGCATGTTACAAGTGTATGAAGGTTCATCCCTAATGGTTGCCAAGGAGCTTCTTAATAATTGATTTGCGTCTCTCGTGTAGTTTATCGACGCTTTCCAATGTCAAATTCGAACTAAAAGTTTGATTGTCAAAACGCTTGGTCCGATGAATACATCAATCATTTCGTTGATTCTTCATATCGTCATACGCAAGCAGATAAAAAATTTATTGAAAGCAACGAAAAAAAATTTTTATAACAATACTCATTGTTGAAATACAATAAAGGACTAGTAGCGTCGACCGTCATAGGTCGGTACCGAATGATCGATTTCTAAAACAACTACAAGTTTGTGGAACTGTACAAAACATTCCTGACTTGTATATGAATACTTATATTCTATGTGCTATCATTTTCGTATATAACACGTACAGAAATATGTATCTGCCTATTCATATACACAAACGTTGAAACTTTTGAGGTTAAAACAACTGGGATTTACAGATACTTCACGGCCTTTGTTAAATTTAACTACAGTCATGTGTACGGAGCAGGATAATGCAGGATGCACACGACAGAGCTATACGCTATGCAAACATGCTGATATATCCCAATGATGCAAACGCATCGACTGTGAAGAGCAGGGTAAGCCGAGATCTTCTTCAAAGGCTGAATTCACTGTGTCTCATTAACACTAGTCGTTCAATACTCGGCGTCCACATTCTTTTTTCTCTCTCTGGAAAATTTGCGAATACGTAGCATTCAATCTCGACTTGGGAATTTTAGGAACGCAACGAGTTAGTAGACGCCATCTTGAATATTTAAAATCAGACAAATGTATATACACACTTTCTTCTTTTGATTATTATACTAATTACTCATGTTATTTGAGACCATTGCACATGACGTAATTTCCATTTTTATAAATCCTTAATGTTTATTTTCAAAGCACGACAAAATTTGTTGCACAATATATTTATTGTCCGCACAAGCAATACCTACCACATGGAACTGTGTTAAATATTAATTAAACCAAATTCGAATACTGACTGACTCTTATGGTTGTCATAGGATATGGTTGATTTCCTGTTTAACTGGTTACAGAAAACTTGGCCCCCACATTCTTCTACACTTATCAAGGTTAACTACGCTTGCGAATCCAGCTGTGACTCAACTCAAGTGTAAGTCGTGTTATGCTTCAGTAGTGTTTGTCATTCCGGCCAACAGAGTGTCAGTGATCTTCCGTCTGATTAGGAAGTCATGAAATTTTCTTTGTGGTACAACTGTTAGAGTTCTTTTGTAATTACGTGAAATCAGTTCGTTACAATACGGGAAACATTTTACACGGATTATCTTGCCCAGCTGACACACTTTCTTTGTTGGCTTGAGGTATGTTAACCTATAGTACAGTTCATATGGTTGCGTTGGTATTCTGCAGTAATTGAACTTTAGCATACAAGAGCACTTCATTTAACTGTTAATAAATACGTATATTGTAATCTGTTTATGAATGTAATCAGCGTAACGTGTCTTTGTCGAGTTTGTTATAAAGATAGTAAGCTGTATCGTTGGTTTGAGTAAACAGTGGAGAATATTTGTGTCCGAAGTTCTGAGAGCAATTACTATAGACTAAGGTATATTATCTTTGACAAAATATATTTTTTCTCGTCCAATTTATTATTAAATATTGTAAATTACGTGGGTATGAATATGAGATAAATTAACGCGTGATACTGTATAATATTTGTAATACAGATTGCATATATAAACTGACACGCATTTTAGTCCAAAACTAATAACTCGACAGAGTAAAAACGATAAAATACCTTTGGGTGAACGACGAACGAATTAGTGTAATTGGACAGCCGTAATTGGATCGCTTTTCATAGAAATACGTCGTTCTTCGATTTTTTAAAATTATTGCGCTCCGAACTTCTGGCAATGATATACATCGGGAATAACGAGTATGCGATTTTAATGTATTTACCCAAGCCTGAATTATTTTCCAAGTCGACATCTGTATCAACACAAATAATTTTTATCGCTTAACCACAAAAAACATAAGTCACAGTATTATCACAATCGTGAATATCATATCGTATAACTGCGTATCATATAACCATAGCCTGTAATATGTATCAAATAAAAATTTATAATTAAAAAAATCTTATATATGCCCCACACTATATATAATAAATAAATGCATTTATTGGGGCATCATGGGCTCATGCAATTCTAAAGGGAATACACGATATCACCAGAGAAATAGAAATGACTTAATTAACAGAGAGTCCCTATTATCGAAAATGAGTTTCCAATATCATCCAGTCTCGTTTTAAAAATACGCGCGATCCTATTTTGCATTCGCATACTTTCGCGTAAACCTTTAAGCCGTGAATCTTATTTCTAAAAAAAATCTTCAGCTCGCAGCATAATGAACGCGTTCGTATAGAACTATTCGTATAGATATTCCCTTTGCTAATAAAGAGCAAAATAAAATGCTCAATTTCATATATATAAATAATGACAGATTTTTAATTTTAGGGAGCAGTAGAGAAAAATGATGGTTGCCCAACTTTGGACGGCCCTGACCGTCTATCTTCTTGCAGCGCTATCTAAAGCTGTAGCCTCGGGTCCAGAATGTAAGTCGTCTCTTTCTCAGTTACCATGTTTTCCTTACACCAGCGTTCCACAGTCAGTAAAACAAACTTCCCTGTTTACGTTATTACGAGAAGCTAGAAAGTTTCTGGAGCATCGAAGTTTTCGCCTGCGCGAGGCGCGACTCGTTGGAAAAATGTACAGAGTCTATAAGGACTTCACCTCTGGTCCCTCCTCTGTGTGTTCAACGAATTAAACAGTTAAGAAACTCGCGATCTCGCGCGAACTTCCACATAGAAATGGAAACACGGCACTCTGTCTCCTCCGTGAACTTTCTTCTACATTATTATTTCATGCGGTGCTTTATTTTCTTTATTTTACAGTGTCTTTACGAGACTCTTCATTAACACTATGTCCAGCAAGACAGAATAATTTATAATTATTGCTTAACCTTTTTTTTTATCGTTGTTTTCCTTTTTTCGATTGCACAATTTATCGATCACTATACGCATATTAAAGTGACTGAAGTTACCGTAGGATTTAGATATGTCGTAAATTTTGGTCCAATAGTGATTTAATTGAACGCACAATTTTCTATTACGGTGTACTTATGTTTATTAGGAAACTGTCAATGAGAATACAGAAAACGGTTCCTTGATCTGTTGACTGCATTGAATTGGTTTGGAGGATCATAATTAAACCAAAGTAAAGTTTCGTGTACAATTTTACCATAACGTTTCATGCGATTATGTTTATATACCATAAACAGGAGATTGCCAAATAGATTGCTTTTATATTTGTGCTTTTTCGCGGAAATTGAATTTTTCAATACATCAATTTGGATAGGCACTCGCATTGAGCGTTATTCTGGTCGTTCTGGCCCTGGGGGAAACTTTGAGACGGATTCTGCTATTGCTTCCAAGTTAACCTCGTTGTACTTATTGTTTCGCAGTCAGAGTTTGACCGAGAGTTACTATTTAGTGGTAAATTAAAAAAGGAAATCGACGTTTTCAAATTCACAAGTAGGTCTCTTTTGAGTCAGACTGTAGTAAACTCCCACGTATATCTCTTTGAAACTTATAAAGCTTTCTGGTTACGAAATTATCACGGAAATTTATAATGTATGTGTATAGGGTCCTTATAGGGTTCTCGATTGCATGTGGTCTATATTGAATATTAAATATTATATGAGGATATGATGATGACTTGATAATTTATGGATTATTTAGTATGTAATGATGATTTCACTGATTGAACAAATGCCAAGTATTCGAACGCTTTAAATTTTAGCTTGCGGTATACCGAACAACTTTAGCGTTTTGGTGGCGGAGGGGCAAAAAGTCGATGTTTATGGCGCTGAGTTATGGGTTGGAATTAAAACGGAAGACGTGGCCATTACCACGTATCCGGATAGGGAATCGGCCAGACTCCTGGCAAACAATACTATGGCTGCTTTTAGGGGTGAGTATATATATATTGTTTGAAAAGAGTTGCCAGAGCATTTTTAAAATTGATTTTTCGACTCTTCAGCGCACATAGTACATAACGATTTCGAGGAAGGTATTAAGTCGGAATCACAAAGGGTTTCTCAAGTTTTCGATGGACTCGCTTATGGGGATGCAAAGCTTATAGTGAGTATTCCCTCGGATTTGCTTATTCTCCCTATCTTTTGAAATTCTTGCAAATCCCGATAAATAATTTTAGCCAGGAGAAAATGGCACCTTTACTATTCGCGATTGCAAACTGATTCTCCCACGAAACTCAAGGTAATTTTATTTGTTAAAAATGTTGTCAGTTTAAAACAAAATTGATAAAAGTGTATAATGCGCCGATAATTTAGGGGCGATATCCCGGCAGCACTAGATAATGAAATTCGTCATAAGATCGAATTATGTCTTGGTCCAATGATCTGTGCAAATGTAGGAGCGCGAAGATTGAGTGAAAATGTATCGGAAGAATATTTCAATGATTTTGGTCCATCATCTTACGACTTGCAATCGGCTCCAATACTGCACAATGATTTAATACCGAATCTTCCGACGGTTGATATGCAATCAAGAATGACAACGGGAACCGAACTCGACAAAACCAGTACATATCAGGTACATCCACATTTCATATCTTCTATACTCCAATAAAGCAATTAATTTATATTTTCTTCCTTAGTCTACTATAAACATCCTGGTTGATATCGCTGTAGCAGAATTAATTCACAAGCTGAGAGAAAAGAATGAAGGCACCATTCCCATTCCAAATATAGAACAGTACTTCATGCGTGGCAATTTCTTCCGTATTGGAGGTTATTTTCAGGCTTTCAACGGAACGTTCAGGTAATGCCTTTTTATAATGAATTCTTGCTAAAGGCGTCAACGATTTAATTAACAGTGAGAAATTTCTTTTTTCTTTAGTGACCTAACAACCATAAGGAGGGTTGATGATGCTACGTTATCCCACGATGGATTTAAATTTACTGCATCATGTGGTTTTGGATTACCAGAAGCGCACCTCCATTACGATAGCTACAAGGTAACATTGAAAACTATCCTTTACGATGGCAGTTAAGCGCTTCCGTGGTTTCGAACAGCCATAACTCATTGCGGAAGTGCTTCAGAAATTCTAATTCATAATAGCACACCTGGTATATTTCAGGTGAAATTGGCATTCATTAAAGTCAAGGGTGAATTCACTGGTGATGTTAATGGTGTCGCTTTGGATTCAAGAATAACAGTAGATTACACACAGAGACCATGTACCAAAACATTGGATCGTCTACAAGTGACAGAATTCGGCAAGATACACTTGCGAGTAACGGGTTTGGGTCCATTAAATTACCCAGCATCTGTCATGTTGAACTGGTTAACTAAAAAATGGCGAGACGAAATTGTTCTCAAAGTTGAAAATAAGTTGCAGAAAGTTGCTGTACAGCAATTGGATAAATTTAACTGCGAACGATTCAGGCCACGAAGCGACTTTTAGAGATTATACATTTATTATTGGGATATTCGATGCCAAAGAATGTCAAACTTTCATCAATACATATAATATATATGCTAGTCACTTGATTACATGGAGAGATTAAAGGATTTTTTATGTGAACCATAAATATAATAACGGTAATGGTATGAAGTCATCGGTAAGCAGATTGAATTAATAAAAGCTCCTGTTTTGTGCCCCTTTAAATAATATTCAAAGCTTTACATGAGTCCATAGAAAATTATAAATACATTTAGTCAACGGAAATAATAATTCGAGCAATGCAACCTACGTGTTTAATACGTTTCTCAACATAAATGCTTCAAATATAAAATGCTTCCATAAAGGAAAATAAATTTTCAACAAAAAACTAATGACTTGATTTTCACAGAGCTTTAATGAAGTTCTCATTGTATCATTCTAAATAATGAATCCTAAAGGGGTTCCTTTGTAATAAATACAAAGTATGTCAAACAGTTTCATAGTATGATAATTGACTAGAGTTTCAGTCAGGATGAAAATCTGTGCTTGGTTCATTCGTAATATTTGTCTCATTTATGACATTATTTACAGCTGACGTTACAGTCGTACTTTCAGCGTCTTTAATTGTAGTTCTTTTGTCATTGTTTGCTGTGGTTACATTTGTGTCAGGTACTGTATCTTTTTCAGAAGCAACGATGCTGCAACTACTACTGCTACTGCTTAGATTTGCAGTTACACTTATGTTTTTTAGAGCTAAGTATTCTTCGACCGATCCAGTAGTTTTTAGTTCTACTTTCTCCGTTTGAATATCGGGGGCTGGTGTTGTCGTCACTGAGTTTGAATTAGGGGAATTATTTAGTCTAGCCAAACGTTGACGTTCTCGTAAACGTTTCCGAATTTCCGATTGTATTTTGGACTCTTTTATCACACTTTGAACATCGTCTGTCTGATAATAGCGAGTCGCCCAAGTCTCGGCTGAACTTGGCTTTACTTGCGTAGCATCTTGGATTTTTTTCTGCTCTGACTTGTTTAACAATTTGTCTGGATTTTCAGTATTGTTGGTGTTGTTTTTATCGGCGCATTCGATCTCGTCCATGTCATCTGGATAATCGTCCAAATCTATTATCTCCTCTAAATCTCCAGATTTATCTTCATCCATCGTTAAGATACTTGCTGTATTTGGTACTTGATTTTCTTTTGGTGTATTGTTTGTAATATTTTGTTGAGATTCATTTGCTTCTGAGGTTTCATTCCCAGCTTCTTGTTTTACTTTTTCGATAGGAATAGTTGTTTCACTTAATTCTCTTGATGTGGAAGTAGATGCTTTGTTTAATGTATTCGATTCAGTATTTTTACTCTCTACACAACTTCCTATGGAATTATTTGTGGATTTGTTTTTTACTCGCGAACGTGGTTTTTTCTTTAATTTTTTAAATAGTTTCTTTTCTTTATTTGTATTCACTTCCACACTTATTTCCTTGTTTGATACCATTTTTAAATTATTAGTTTCAGTAGACACAATAACATTTAATGGATTGCCTCTAATATCTGTATTTATATTATTAGAATGTTTTGAAATGTTTTCTGAAACCTCTAGTTGAGTATTATTAGCAGCTATGGCAATATTATCATTACTAGGAGGTTCTTCCTTATTTGATTCAAGATTTTTACTCTTAGTGTGTTTGTTACTTACATTAGACATTTGTTCCTTATGAGAGAGGCGTTCATTGTCTAGTCGTTTATTTCTACGTGTTCCTTGATCTTCAGCTTCACTTCCACTCGATAGCAATTCTATTGTCGGGGTTGGTTGAACTACTAAAACTACATCCTCATCATCAGCTATATTTACTCTAGCATTGTCTAATTTTTCTGATTGCGTACAATTCATTTCTAATTCTTTCAATTTTCCTTCAATGCATTTTGAAGTTAAGCTACTTTCCTTTGATATACTTGTACTTTTGATGGAACTTGATGTAGCTTTTGAAAGGTTTGCACTGTCAGTGGGTACTGTTGGTATAATATCTTCTTCTTTACGTATCAAAGCTCTTATGGCTCTAGCGCGCATTTCTAACTCCAGTAAGTCGAGTAAACTGTCTCCTTCCTTTTCTTTTTCTAATTTTTCACCTTCCTTCTTTATCTTTATCTCAGGTGCATTAGGTTCGTCTCCTGTTTTATGCTTCCCCTTTACTTTTCCTTTCAATTTATCCTTATCATGACTTTTCTGGTTATGTAATTTGGATTTATTTTTGCATTTATCTTTCTTTATTTTGAGCTTTTTCGATTCAGAAGGCAATTCATCTTCCTTATTTGGGACATCTTCATCTGTCAACCATTCTTCAGTATCAGAAATAATTTCCAAAGATGGTCCTTCAAAATAAAATCAAAACATTATTTAGTTTATACACAAATACATCAAAGTTATTTAGCAAGACTTTCTTGCAAGTACATAAGTATTCAACATAAATGAATGAATATTCAACATAAATACCTGAATCGTCCGTATCACTCGATTCAGAAGATTCTAACATTTTTTGACCATTTAATATGCACAAAATTCTAGCTCTGGACATTCCACTCAATTCGCTGGCACACCATTCTTCCAATTCAGGTAAACCCATTTTCTGTGAAATACAACGAATAAAGGATAAAAGAAATCTATTTCAACATAGACATAATGACACTGTTAAAACCACGTTCTAAAGTAATACCTTTAATGCCTGGGGTAACATCATACGTATTTTTTCAGTCTTAACCGACTTAAATAATTGTCGTGCAAGTTCTTTACGGTCAAATAGGTAATCCTTAATGGGTTTCAGGTCACAAGCTTCTGCATCGTCATCAGATGACAATGATGATGTACTATAAGAACTGGTACTAGATGCCTGAAAATCATTCATTGGTAAATTAATATAACAGTATAAGAATTTAACAAAATGTAAAGTATATTTTGGATATGTCTCTTATACTTGAAGGTTAAGTACACTCAATTTAACAGTTCATAACCTTTATTTCATGAACATACCTCGCTCTTTTTGCGAATTTCTTTCATGTTGACTGTTTTATCACATACAATTTTTATATTTCTTATTATGAATAATTATCAAGTAAATGTTATTTTAACATAACTCTAATGGTTGCGATCATACAACAACACTACAGAGAACATGAGACCAGATGAAACTTCATACAGAGATGTACAGAGATGAAAAGGGAGATGCGCCAGAGATGAGTAGGGAGATGCACAACAGAGGCGAGTCTGGAAATATGATTTTGTGATCATTGCCTCCGTCGACAATGTGAATCCCGTCGTAGCCGAGCTAAACGTGAACATGAACACGTGGCTTGGCGGGCAGAGGTTCTCCGCTACTCACCGCTGATTCTCAAAGTAACGCTTAGAATGAGACCGGGAACTATAGAACTTCTCAAGAACTATTGAAAAAATCTATTGTTGAAACATTTTTAGGACTTTTTTAAGAAAGTGCAGTGCCAACTTGACACCCGTGTAGCACCTCAATTTTTACTAAATATTATTGGATCTTGATTTACTTTCAAAATTTATTTAAAATATAAAATTAAGGCTAAATCAAAATCTCGCAGAATGTACGGAGTAGATAAAAATTGAATTGAAGTTGTATACTATCGAAAATAAATTATATAAATAGGAGATTCGAAAATAGAGTAGAAACGTTTGGTGGTAGCAGCCAGGGAAGATAGATGTTGCTGAAGGGAAAAAGAGGAAGATTGTTAAAAAGAAAGAGTGAGGAAGAGAGATGGTAAGGTCTGAGAGAACAAGGAGAGAAGAAAATGCGTAAAACGTGTGCACGAGAATCAGATTATTCGGGAGGAGCGAGAAAAGAGAACACTCAAAAAAGCAGGATAAATAAGAAGGTTAAGGGCGCGAAATGGGCCCCTCCTCGCCCATTTCCGTGAGGTCGTGCCTCTCATGAAGGGGAGCTACGACCCATCCGTGGCCCCATAGAGGACCGTGTTTTTTTTTTTATTGAGGAAAAAGTTAGTTAATTTTTCTATTTCCGGTTAGCCCCACTACACGTATACACTACCAAAAATGCTCTTTGCCAGATTATTACTCGAAGGACTCTATCTGCGATAGTTTCGTAAAATTCCGCTAGCGGGCCTGTAACGAAAAGTCAAGACATGATTTTTCATGGGAAGCATTTGGAGGATTTTTGTTAATTCCATAAAACTCCAACTGCAGAATGCATCCTCCCATTCCAAATATGTTTAAACAAAAGAATTAATACAAACAATTAAAAATCAAATATTGTTTATTTAAACATAACACAGCATATTTATCGTGTACACTAAAAAAAAAATTAAGCTCCTACTTCATAAGGTACGGTCGTACACAACTTAGTAGTTGGTTGATCAGATCTATTTAGAGATTCGCAACAGCTAATCGGTAACGAAATTTGGCACAAATTATTAAACATATGCAAAATACAGTGTGTTGTTGAGATTAAGTAACACCATGAAGAATTAGATATAAAACGACTAAAAATTACGATGTGTCTTGTATGACATAACTATTTGGATGCTCTATTTACATTACTAGAAGGTCTGTTCGTGACGATGTACGCGTAACATCGCAATGACATTTTAAATACACTATATGGAGTAACGGCTTTTCCGTTTTTCATCTCGCGACATTAGCGTGTCGTTCGCAGTGTTAAAAATTAATATGATGCTTTCCGTTCAATCGCTATACAGAAATAATTGCAGCTAAATCGTAACTACACATAAAAAATGATTTTAACCAGTATCGTGTATCCATATGTTGACTTCAGAAAAGTTAACAGCTAATGTCGATAACGTTTACGTAAAATATCTTTGAAAACGGAGGAAAATGATAACGAGCAGTAAAACGTGTATAAGTAATTAAATATATAATCGTCTAATGTATATACGTTTATAATAATTCGTAAAACATGACAACAACGTTCTTATGCATTTGCGTCATTACTTTTTTTTAAATGTATTCGTTAATTCTCTGTTATTTAAGTTGTCCTTCGGAAATCAGCAAAACATAATGTCATAATTAACATGGACTAATGAGCGCAATTCAGAACCAGTTCAAAAAGTCGAAATGAGTTTTTAGTGCTTTACACAGAATATACAAATGATTGCCTAAATTCGTAATAAATCCTTTAAAAAAACGATATACCACGGTGTTGTCGGTCGTATCGATTTCTAAAACTTTTTTGAAAATATTGAAGATTTGATAATTTCTTGGTCTTTCGGATATCACGCGCTGTGGCGACAGCGCATTAAATTCTACGACATTTACAAAAGAGTGATTTTCTTTTTTTTTAATTCTCACCGCTTCATTGTCACGGTGAAATTCGAACTTTCATATGGTGAATCTATCGCAGGGATTTTATCCGTCATTACTATAAATTATTCTTAAGTAACGCGTGTTTAAAGTTAACATTCCATTCTTAACATTATAACAAGTTACTGTACTTGACTTTCGTATAACGGAAATTGCACGTTTACTTATATTCGGAGTCGTAACATTTATGCACATACAGGGTGATGCCATTAGACATATGAATAGTATAGTCGGTAAGATTCGTGGAAAGTATTCATACACGTGTAATCATTAATTGTATTCGTTTTGTTCCAAACTTATTTAAATAAAGCTATGACACCCGTAATGACGTACAATATCATCTTGCGGAGCAAACTATTACTCGATAATAATAGTCTACGCAACAATAGACAAAGAGAGTTAAGGACGATTCGATGAAAGAAAAACACGCGACGGACACCACCCTATAGAAAACGATATTTCCAACTACTAGGAACAAAACCGTACAAATGCCTCTACTCATAATCCTATCAATCAACTTGTCTTTAAATGCTTCTTAATAACTCACGTATGCAATCACGCAAACATTTAAATATCACCTTGGAGTATGGAGATTGAGATTCGTCCACGATACAATACATATTGTGCCACTCCATACATTTTATGCGGGCGTATTTTGAAGGTATGCCGAGGCAGAATTCAAAAGTCCAAGCCGCTGTTTTTGCTTTCGTTGTTCCGTCATCTAATGGAAAAATCAATGATAGGTATTATTATTTGATTGAATGAGAAATTTAATAAATATATTTTTTACCTGATCACGAAGTTCGGTGAGTTGTTGAGACAGGCACTTGACCAATTGCTGAGTAGATTCCAACTGGGATTGCAAACTCCTTAATTCAACTTGTTCACCCTCGCCTTCGTCAGCGGCTAATGATTTGGCTCTTAATCTTGGGAACCAATCCAAATTGCGATCCTGTGAAAGTACATAGAGCTTAAAGAAATGAGTATCGCTAAGATTTTCCAAGCTCTATGGACTATTACCTTAACCATTGCGTAAACGTAGGATTCGGGACCGGTGAATTCCGTGGGATCTTTTACCTTTACTAAGACAATGAAATAAAGATAATGCCACATATTGTGCTCATGTTTAACATGCTCTTCGAATGAAACTGTCTTGTTGTCGAATGCCGATCTATTTAAACCTGTAAGTATATATTAATGGCAATTAATTATATATTACATAATAATCATATTCAGTGGCTATTTCGTTACGTACCGCAAATGAAACATGTGTTCTTTAAAATCAATTCTTTTTGTTGCTTCTCTGATCTTAGATCAGCAAACGTGTCGATGATCACACCAAAAATCAGATTTAGAACGATAATAATCACTATGAAGAAGAACAACAGGTCGTAAACGACTCGGGCAACGAAGAGAGGTTCCTGAAAAACAATATGAACGGGTATTGTACGATTGAAAGTTATAAAAGATGGAAGGAGAAGTGATAAGATTTTTTACACTTACAGCGCTAGAAGGGGCTCTTAGTATGTCTCCAATGCCGCCTCCATTTCTCAAGCCTTGATTTAATGTAGTTACGATGCACATCACTAATGAGTCACAAGCGCGTTCCTTTAATTCTCCACCAACGTTCATCACCTCGGCGTCGTTATTTTTCTGCTGGCTCGCTGTATGATTTGAATTATTAATATTCATACTATAAAACAAAAGTATAGTACAATTTGTTTTTTTTTTTAATTATACATACCTTCCCGGGCGTATCGTGATATAGTCTCAGTTGCATCACAATTTGCACTGTTTTTCGATTCACAAGTACCTCCTATTTCTTCAGGGGCTGAAAATATGATACATGATTATTTTTTAAAGTTCTTATGTTTTACAGGTGTCAGTTGATTATTGATTTAAGTAAAAACTCACGAATGAACTCTTCGTCGACGCTAACCAAAAAGTCATCTTTGAAAAACATATAACCGATAATGGAAAACATATAAACTAGAATCAGTGCAAGAACGGCTGTTAATATAATGGACCTTCCGTTCCGCGTGACTGATCTTATCACATTGAGTAAAGTCTCTTCACGATACACGACGTCGAATAGCTGAAATAGTGTTTCCAGATGAATTAAATGAATTTTTTTCATTCTTTTATAATTAAAGAAGCAAGTAACAATTATCAAGACATTTAATTAAAAATTGTATTACTTACTAAGACTGAGTAGAAGAATGGATGCATACAGATTCCAAGAACACAGAATATAAGGTAGCACATGTGATATAGCAGTTCCACGTTCGTTAAGATTTGTTCTACACTCTTGCTCAAGGTGCCCTGATTTCCTATTATGCTTATTAGATGAATTATTTTTAAAACAACCTAAAGAGATACCATTTTTATGTAAAATATAATTTTCCATGTTTATATAATCTTAATATGGCTCTTAATTATCTTGCATACCGTTAAAAAACCAAGTAACAATAGTGTTGGCTCGGGTCCTATAGAGAATATGAGTCTCAAAATTGTGGATGCTACTAGAGTACGTATACCTGATTCTCGAGGTAACGTAATCACAATTGCAGCCGATGATATCATAACTGTCCATATAAGGCCAGACAAATGTGGCCCAAGTTCTAAAAGAGATTAGTTATAGAATTAAAATCGTTTCATATAATTTACAATCAAATTGTTTCATGTATTTATCTTAAACTTACTAGGTACTGAATCAACAAACGGATAGAAAAATGCCACTATAAGATTTATAAGAACTGCACAGTTGAATAAAATGTTGCTCCATAGTGACATGTAACTGCTCACCCAGAACAACATTGGCTGCCCTGAAAATTGTGGTAAGTTTACAAAGTTTTATTAGTTGCTTAACTCAATTCTAAAATTATACATGAAGAATAGAATTTTTTTACAACAAAGAACAAACCTCTTAGTTTCTTCTGCCATTTCATTTCATTAAACATATCTTCGGTTCGTTCAAAAAAGTCTGAGACCTTGGACCCTTGATCATCGCGTTCCGATGTATTTAAAACTCTTATTTTCGTATCCATAGTAATAAGTTCACAAATCTCTGGTATAGGGAAAACTATTTGCTCCAGTGTTCTGTCGTTTCTAACAATCTAGAAAATTAATGATTTCTAATTAACAAACATCTCATCAGAGACAATTTTTCTCAATGAATGATAGTCATTTAAAGTAAATGATATGAATCAATAGTTAGAAAAATAATTACTTCAATTTGAGCTGTATGTGTGGCATAATACTGAAGAGCTTTGTTCGTTTTTGGATCCGCGTTTGCCAAATCGGATGGTTTCAACATTGTCGACAATTCTTTGTTGTGTTGAGCCAATTGATGACACAAGATATAAATGTTATGTCCGACCTGAAAAAAAAATAATAGTATAAAAATCATTGACGTTGATCAAATCGAATTACACGTACCTCTTTGGGTGATACTATTTCATCCCCATCAGTTGACGAGTCATCGGTATCGTCTTCATCGTCCAATGATTCTTGATGAAAAGCTCTGCACGCAACATCAACCAACTGCTTGGGATTCATATTGTACAAAATTCTCTCAGCATTTTCACTATCTCCTCTGCTTTCCATTATAGCAAGCAACAGCTTACTGGCATTGTTCTTCAGTTCCAGGACCAAGTCCATTCTCGTTTTACCCAGGGGATTGATATCATTCAATATCAAAGCAGTTATGATATCCAAACCGTTCGATTCATGAGTAGCTATACAGTTTTGATTATCGTGGCAAGGTCCTTGACAATATTCAGTTAGAGTTTCTAGAGTTTGATTTATCAATGCGACATTGTACTCATTTATATATAATCCAAGAAGTCCCAGACCACCAGTCGTGGAACCACAAATGCAATCTAGAAACATGAGTGTTTCGGATACCAAATTGAAGTTCGTTTTGTTATTTTGGTTACGAAGAAAATTCTAAAGAACACCAATAAAAAAGGACATGAATACAGAGTTTTATGTTATTGAAAAATGAGTATTATGACAACAATTAAACTACCTGTAAGTCGCGATTATGATTTTCGCACAATAATTGCAAGAAGCGCAATATTGGCTGCATGACGAGAACCTTGGCACTGAGTTGAGCTTCGTCTCTTTCAACGGTACCACCAGTACGGTGTCTTTCCAATTTCTCAGCCAACATATCCTCCAAAGCACAGCCCAATGCTGCATTGTTGGATGCATCCTCGCCAGATGCAATAGTACGTACAGATGCATATGCTTGTGCAGTAGAAGCTGCAGCTTGATTTAATTCCTCTCGTAACTCGTCAGTTATTACAATTCCATTTGGTTTCCCTGATATTGAAAAGTCCAGAAACACTACGTACATAATTTCAATCACAGTTAACATCAAAAGTTGTACTCAGAGAGCAAATCATACCGGAAGTTCGTTTTCTTGATACTTTCTCCAATTCCTTACTCTGCTCTTTATCCTCGTGCGCTTTCGCAGCCATGTCCGACGTGTTCACAGTGACAGTCGATTTAATTTCCTGTTGCGAGTCCTTCATTTTGTCATAAAATACCTGAACAACATCGTCACTGTTAAATATATGCGAATCGCGAATATTGTATTTTTCTTCAATCAAAGTTGAACTTAGTTATGTACCTTGAAGAATGATTGGCTTAGATCACCACCCATCAATTTAGTAAAGACGCTTTTTTGTATAATGGGATTTCCTCCTTCTAATAGTGCTATTCCCAATTCCACAGCTTCCACGAATATGCTGGGTGAGTGGACACTTTTAATTACCAATTCCACAACCAAATCCGAAGCTCCTTCTCTATCCAGATGACTTTGAATTTCGTGCAGGGTACGACCAGCCCGACTCAGCATCTTGGCTAGGATTTAGATAAAAAAAAAAAAAAAATTAATGACGTAATAGATAATTCGTTATTTATTATCATTACTTCATTCCACAATAATCATACCTCCTGGACCATGAGTAACAGCTGTTGTGCATGGTACTCCAATTTCTACAGTCTCTGGCTTCTGAATGTAAGATTTTCCGAAATATCGAATCAATAAATTGTTTCTCAGCGCGTCACCCTGTATAAAATGAAGAATATTAGAAAATGTTGGGATATAGGGAAATGCAGTTAGTCACGATGTACCAATACTGTATACAAGATAATAGTAAATTTGTGACCGTTTATGTTAAAGATAGTATTACATATGTGGATACGTTAAATTGTGTATGTTCACATTCTTTGTGACACGTGGAATTATACTATTCTAAAATAAAGTAAAAGATTATATACAATTATGAAAAAGTTGACATAAAGAAAATTTAAAGTAGCTGTACAAATTTGAAGGAAATACAAAACAAGAATTTATGTGTATTCGCATTGACGACCAAGATTATACAATAGTGGTAGACATTAATAATTTTGAATTTCAAAGTTACATATAGATCTGATGCATTTTGTCATAATGTATTATATTTGGTGCTAGTTACGGTACAGTTATATAAAAAATATAGTGCCTTTGGCAACGTAGTGTAAAGCAAAGATAGAGTAGTGGCAACAAATTTAATTATTTAAATATCTGCAATGAATACATAACTATTTCATAACTATTGTGGAATCTGTACAAAATTCCAAACATATATTCTTCTACCGTTTACGTAATTCGTTTTTCCATAATTACTCTGCTACTCTAACAATATAATAAGGCTGGGAAACATACTATAGGATCAAGTATATAAATCATAAGTAGTCAAGATATTGGTACATCAGGTTTTATTGATATATTATACTCTATATAAAAAATTGTATTTAAACTGTACTCTGATAATTATATATATCAAGTTACTTTATACGTAGTATATATAACAGAGCACAGGGAATAATAATGCATCCTGTACACAGTGTTTCAACAAAGGAACATACTATATGATATTGATTTACTGATTCTTTATATACAGTGCAGATTACTATTGGTCATAGGTTATCAGATGAGCGTTTCATTCATACTTTTAATATTAGCCGTAATTAAACAATAGGATTTTTGCTCCCAAAGCGCTGCAAACCAAACAGGCATAGATGCTGATGAATCGCGAGTGTGATGAGACATGCGTGATTTAAAGGCTCATGCGTTCAAACTTTTTTTTTTAATAGCCATTTAATGAAAAAGCTAAGCCGTTCAGAAAAATGTTTAGGCATGATCGTCTGAATAAATAAATGGGTTTTCAATATTTTTCTAGCCGTCTTTTATATGGCGAAGCGAACGATTTTTTTCGTTCTAAGGTTGTCTACTACAATTTTCATTATCTTTCTCTTTGGTACTACTATATTGATCGGGAATAGGACGATCTAAGCAGCTTCTCATGTTAAACTCGTATACGGTCGTGCCTAAATAGAATTGTTTCTGGCCATTATAATTCGTTACCCGTTGCTGTTGCGTCATTTCCTGAATCTCTGTTTGATCATTGGAATCTGTTGCAACACGCGACTCCGTCTCCTTTTCCGGATCTGCCTTTTGTGAGAGATCCTCAATTTCCTTTTGCAGCATGAAAACACTTTTACCTACAGATCTATTCTACCAGAACTACTCATCCGCGCGTCCAAATATTCGTATGACTTGGCTCATTGAAAAAGCTTATTAGGTAGAATATATATTGCTCTCATAGTAGGTATTAGCAAGCCAAGAGAATTTCTAATTGCGTACCGATCATCTATAGTGCTCCGAATTGCGAGACATTCAGTTTTCACATTAAAATAAACCAGATTAGTTAACTCAAAATTTGCGACGTCTAGGAATTTGCTAAATTAAAAAAATTAATCTTCACTGCAATTTATCACGTTAATCAATGTCGTCTGGTTTTATATTAAAGATACCAAATGCCTCTATGCTACAATGCTGTGAGTATTCGTATTTCTGTATGATCGATGATTCATGTAATTTCAACTTCATGCACGGTAAATTTATGTAAACTCACTTTTTCACCGTATTCCGGATCTATGGCCATCATCTCTCGAAGCGTCCTCAGTACTTTTACGCATAGTTTCTCTTCTTTCTCTTCCAGAAGCTTCTCCGTGTGTTTTATCAATCTAGAACATTATTAGATAGTTCAATGTGTAACGAAACCTTTTATTCCATTCTAAATGCTAGTGTATAAAATTTAAGAACTTACCGATGAATGAATCCGCCATTTTCGCAACGTTTTCGCGCGTCTGTAGATGTCGGAAATAGCAATTCTGGACGATAAAGAATATCAACCAGTAAGGATAATTCCGATTGTACCAAAGGTTTCAATTGCTCTTCCAATAGAGACACGATATCCTGTAGACCTTCGATAATGCTGCGATCTAGTCTCATTAGCTGTTAAAAATCAAACTTAATTAGAGATTAGACAATTTCTTAAAATCAATTATCAATCACGTTGTAAAATAGTATAATATACATATATATATATATATATATGGAATTATGTACATTGTGTTGTGCATTCCTACTATGTATTATTATACATAATTGTCTCTCACTGTACAAATTTTATTTAAAATGTGTTATAAACGAGTCTATGGTTATATGCACAGTCAGGTGCAATTGTGCCAAGGGAATATTTATTTCCTGTTAAGCAATTCATTACCTCATCCCTAATGTCCCAAGAGGAAAATAGATCGTTCTTTGCAATTGAAAAGATACATGTGTTAATGAGTTAAAGAATTCATACTGTATAGTATATGAAACACAAAGATAACCAATGTAAAGTAAAATTATATAAGATCATACACATTACCTGGCTTTGGCTTCTTTCCATTTTTGGCTGTTTGGCAGCCTGAAGCCATTTGCTGGTTTGTCTGCTGAGCATTGCAGCTTTGTTAAACATGGACGCAACTTGACTTTCCAGATCCGTTGGAATTGCAATGCTTCTTCCTTTGGCTGATGTACAAATGTTAATATTAATTAATTATAAACGGAGAAAAAACTAATAAATAAAGATATTTTATACTGACCAACATCGGATAACGTTCGTATGCAATTTTCAACGGTAAATCTTTGTCCTGCATTGAACCACGTACATTGGGACACTTTAACAGCTGCGTGTAACAATTGGACGAATATCGGCTGCCGTGTCTGTATAAAATAAATGAGAGTGATGTAGGAAATATAAACGATAATCGAACATTGATATACGACGTACGAACAGCAAATGACAAGATGCACACGTAAAAAAAAATTATGTAGAATTTATAATTTACTTACAAAAAAATCGTATGTTCGCCAAACGGGCAAGGCATGGAAAAATACAAAATCATTTTGGATGGCGTTTGATATTAATATCATAAAATAGTAAATTCACCATAGAAAAAAAAAATACAGTTTTACAATTTACTTCATGATTAATCCTGTTCATTTATACATTCGTCTATTTATGTTACAGCATAAGTAACATTGCTTTTGAATTCAGTAGTAGAAGAAAAAAGATTTACTCATAGCCATGTGTACAATACCATTCTAGTATTCAAGATTCGGTTTGAACTTCTTCCAATCAAGTAACTTCTTTTTTTTTCATACCCATAAATGAACTCTCGTAACATTCTAAGTGGTATTTGTTATATTATTATGTAATTAATGCTGCATTCAAATTCATGCAATTTAAAGTAATAATAAGCAATCAGGCATAGTACTCACACAACCAGTAAGATTATTATCGTTGTGGTGATCACCCTCCTTGGGACGCCAAAAAAGTCTAGCCTCGTGCAGGTGTTTCTATTAGTAAACCATATACCGCCACCATACATAGAGCCCATCGACCGGTAAGCCAGTTTGATCGAATGACAGAGGACCAGTTGACACATGCCAAAAAAACACACAACATGCCACTAATGCAAACCAGGAATGACCAAACATACATCAAGTGAAGACATTGTTTTAAGGATGATTCAATGACTCATTTAACATGAGCGTATATTGCAATGATTCAACTATGAATGACAGATGTGATCTAACTACGACAATTTTAGCACACTTTTATTTGCTGACTTAACTAATAAAATGAAAAACACAAATTACCGCATTTTGCGAATTTATCGATGTACTAATGAATCTCTCAAGTAGATAGCACTTTTTCACATCCCACAAAGCACCCCCAACCAGCGCGTTTTTTTTTTTCGTACATTTCATTAGCTGTTTGAATTATAAAAATATATGCTTTCCTCTTGAACGACTTTGATATGTGCTTGGTTAAATGATACGTAATTGTTTATTAGCATGCGAAGCTAATAATCATCGAACGAGATGAGCATTTGTTATACTTTGTGTTTGAAAATTGCGACTTTTTTTTTAGTTTAAAAAATTTAAAAGCACGTTAATCTCAACATTACATTAGACATTACTTTGGACTGATTACTTAGTCTCATTATAACATTTTATTCATTTTAATATTTTGATTATTACGATAAGTTATTTATGGTGAACATATTCATATGAGACTACTGTAGTACAATATTTGTTCCTAATGACGTAATGACTTTATCTTCAATACTAATGTGCACCATTGTACTTCTAATCTAATCGGCTAATTTCTGCTGTCTACTAATTTACCTCCAATTCGAAGTACTTCGATTGTAATGTGAAAGAAATATAATAAGTGATTATTTAAAACAATGAACGAGTAAATGAAAAAATCATGTAATTTTATTCAAACAATAAAATATTCTTTAAAGAGAAAAGCAATTCTATATTAACATGGAATTCGAAAAGTTTAAGTGCCTCGAAAAAGTAGTAGCCCATGCATCTACGCGAACAAAACGTTTCAATTTAAGAATTAGATACATAAAGTCATATTCCCTCCTGCATCAGATAAAAATCTATTGCAAATTTTAACGGATAAAACCAAGTGAACCATTCGTATACATGACTAAGAATGACAAAGCAATTTTCAAAAGAGTAATATATCAATTAACATAACAAAGACCGTCACCCTTTAATTAAATTATGAATTAAAACGATATATAGGTACTCTACCTGGACAGTTGTGCTTTGATCCGAGAAAGGACTGCTGAAGAAGGTGGTAATGATGTTCATTAAACAATTGGTGACGTAATTCTCAAGAGCCGTATCAGCATGACGTCGATCATGCGTTGAAGTGGCAACCAGACCCATATCCACTATAAATGACTTTTCGAATAGAGACCACATATGATTCGAAGTATAAATTTCCTTCATCTCAACCTCGGTATCGATATAGCAGTGATTAAGGAAATTTATGTATGCCTCTTTCACCTGTTGATACATTCACATTTTATTGCATTATAAATCAAATGTGAGTCACATTTAATTTATTATAAATCATCGACGTACCTCTGGAATGCAGTCTTGATGGGATACCATAGCGACAATATCGTCCAATGGCAAAAGACTGTGACATTTTATTTCAGTATTTACATTCTTGCCCATTGTGCAGCATGCCAATAGTTTGACAAGTTCCACGTGATACCTGAATACAAATGAAAAATAAGTTTAAAGTTTTAGTAATGAGTTTTCTCGATAAAACGAATATTCCATATTTGAAAATATATATGCATTTACATACTTAAGAGGACTACTTTCATCCATTCGGTGTCTCTCAGACCTCATCATCTCAACAAAATGATTGAACGACGCTCTGTCGTTATAAAATACCAAGACATCTTCTCCAGCTTGTACAAGCTAAAAGAATGTTTGAAGTAATCATTAAGATTGAGAATTTGTATATAATGAACCCTTTAACTTACCTCCTGCATAACCATTTCCTGACACTTTCGTATAAATTGATTTTCGGCCTTGACTATTGTTTGCAGAAATTTTAAATATTGTACATGCCTTCCATGCGTCTCGATGCAATGTACAAAATGTTGTATCACTTTTGCATTAACTTCGTTGCAAAGTGTTGAGTTGTCTTGAAAGATGCTGCACACGGTCTGTGCTTCTCGTATGCCCGGATTTAGGAACAAATCTAATTGTTTGTGCAACAAAACCTGGTTCTGTTGATTACCCAAGCAGAAGTTTTGTAAGAAGTCATGTGCAAGACGCATTAGCTCATTCATTCTAACATCTTCCTTTGAGTCAAAAGGTACTTGGAGTAGGTCTAGCACAACTGTATGTACTCCAACGTTTCGCAACAATCTTTGCTCGTGTTTCCGTGGCTTCGTTGGACCACCTGGTATTGACTGGATACATAATTTATTCATACGGATCAAAATCTGTTGAATCTTTTTATACTCTTCAGCTTGATCTGCTAGTAAAGGTGGTCCAACATCCAAGTCAATTGCAGATCCTGTGAACATCGAAGCAACAAGCATTTGCAATACAGTACTTGAACTTTTTATAATAAAAAAGCAAACGCAATCGTCAATAAACCTTTCTTGTTGTCAGATGATAACTGAGGCGGTGCTTTACGTGGGGTTGAATTTTCCTCTTCATCCTCTTTGCTTTTTTTCTTTTTATTCCCATGCTCCTCCGTTGCTTTTGACTTGTAAACCCAAAGCTCAGACTTTTCGACGGATTGTCGTAACACATCTAGATCCGCTTTTATTTGCTTATACGATTCTACGTCACTGTCAGAGACTAGAAGTTGAACCTGATAGACATTTACATTGTTAGACAATACTGAAACGTTTACGTATAAATCACAAATAAAGATTTTCAGGAAATAAAAATATTACTTAATACAGCCCACGAAGTACGAAGCGACTAACCTGTTTGAAAGCTTGTAACACTTCTTGGCGCTGGCTGAAGTGTCTGAATAGAAGATGTAAAGCTCCAGAAACTAGTGGAGGATAATCGTGCATCGCCAAGTGAAGCAAAACACGCAGGAAAGTTCTTCCTCCTTGACCATCAAGGTCCAGTGCAACACATTCCTCACTAAGCAGGCATTAGTAAGAAGAAAATATTGAACGCTGTTATTAATTCGTAAGAATTTCTAAACAAGTTTTAGATTTTATTCTAGCAAACATTGAAGACATGGAATAAAACGCTCAATATAAATTGAATGTTTTTACTTCACAAAAACTACAAAAAGTATTGTTTTTTCAATACATTTATAAAATTAATTTACCTGCTCCCAAATATTCCTTCAGCCTGAGTTCCTATTAACTCTAAATCTATACCCTTCTGGCCAAGACTCACGTCACCGGATGCTCTTTCCGTCTCATCAAACTCCTGCTTAAATATGCTGAGCAAACAGGAGATACGATAATCCAGTCGAACGTCTGAAATGAACTGCAGTATCTCTATTATCTTCAGTTTCGTATCCATCACTAGTGGATATTCTTTTTTTAAAGATGGCTTTGGTCTCGGTGCTGATGTTCCAGTCAATACTTGTCCAGCTGATCCAAGTGTCAAGCTTGTCATCACGGCTCCCATATCCCCAATGCATCTCAGAACTCCACCTTCAGCTAATAAATGAAACTCTATAGATGTTACCTTACTAATTAAAAATGATGATTTCAAATATTTATAATTGAAGCTATTTACAGACGAAACGATGAACAAAATCATTTATGCGGATATGTGTATATAATAATTTGATGTCTAATGAAAGAAATAATAATTTATATTCAAGGAGTGATTTTTCCATGAGGACATTTTCTGTGTCCTTAAAATATTACAATATCGATTGAAAGAGATTCGTAACAAGCAGGACAAGTGAAACGGACTGTGAAATATTTGTATTATCTACATAAGGAACATGCTTAGGTGTACCATCGGCTTATCACCAGGTGTTAAAGGTATTCTATACATAAACTAGTATTACATTAGCTACGATCAGCATTGGATTGCACAGTTACCTGTTTCCTCCGAATCCACAGATTCAGCTATGCGAAACGTGCAAAAGGTACACTGGTTAGTTAGAGAATATTGTTAAACTATTTTAAAGTGTAATATCGTTATACGTAACTGTTCGCTGGATGAAAAAAACATTGAAAAAATATCCAATTTGTAGAGTTCAATTATGACGAAGATTACCGTCAGATGCAACTAAAGCAAACGGCTCATAAGAGGCACGCTTATACATTTGATCATGCAAAAAGGACTTGTAGTCTTTTCATAAGAAAGTCAATCTTCATTTTGTTACTCAAATTTAACAGTGTTCTATATGAAAATACAATTAAGGAATATCAAAGAATTTTTCTTATCTACTTAGCAATTCACCATCGATGGTTTTAAAACAAATATTGATCCTATTTAATTTACACCTGCGTAAGAATTTTATTTTGACAGCTGACTGACAATAAGAAAATAATCAACGAAATAGTTTAACAGTATCGTAGCAGCGGGAGGTATTAGTATAACTTACAGTCAATTTCACCTGTGGGTATTTTCCCATCAGAAAAGTCACTCTCCGAAACGCAATCCAATATACTGAGTAACGTTTTCGTCAATCTCAAGAGATCACTGAAGCTATAGAATCCAAAGTAAATGAGATCCCGTGCTAGCTTAACGACCTAGGTAAAAAATAAAACATTTTTATTCCCATTGAAAGCCTAAGCGAAACCAATTGAAATGTGTGCACCGAGACTTACTTCAAAAGTGAGTTTATTTTGTTCCTGATCAGCAAAGGACCACATCTTCGCTACGACGTTACAGAGATAATCTTCAACGAATATAATGGTTGAACTAAATCTTGCCCTAACAGCTTCTTTGGTTTGATCCGGCATTTTGTTCGTGTCATAGCTAATAACGAGCAACGTTAAAGTTCGAATGAAGCATTAAGAGTAATTAATAACATTCAAAAAGAAGAGCCGTATTATTATACATTAATATCACTCACTCATTGATGCTCATTTTCGAAGGAATCTCAGACCAAAGCCGTGCATATTTGACAGGTGTCACAGGTTCTTGAGGATCTCTATCCACGTGGAGATGCAGCATCAAACGACAAAATGATGCTCGTAGTTCGTATGGTACTGTTTCATCTGACATACATCTGAAAAAAAGTAATAGTTAGAACAATGGCTTAATATTGATGGACTGAGTAGAACTTACTTGAGAATCAAATCAATATCTAAGTGAGGTGACAAATTGTTGAGTGCCAAGTATTGTCTATTCAGACACATGTTACTAAACAGATTCAATTGATGCCTGTAGTAATCAAGAATCGCAGCATCTTCCACATTGCCAAGTTTGGCACCCTTAGATAATTCACTGAGTGACATGGATTTCTGTAAATTAAATATTCCAGTTCGTGATGTGTTTTTAATTGTTAAAGAAAGTTATACGGTTTGTTCAATTAACTAATTTGATACCCACTGTTCCATCGTTCCACACTAACAAAACCTCGAGTTCTTCTATGATTGTTATTGAAGATTCTTCGTCCTCTCTTTCGTCAATGTCCTCTACCTCAACGTGAGTGTTCATTATCCTGATGGCAAATTTATAATTGATAACTGTAACTTGTTTTTTTGGTACCTTTTACAAGAGCCTCACCTAGTATCTATCAGAATATCTTTGTTCTTCTCACTAAGCACACTCTTGCAGATCAACTCTTGAGTAACGGCAATCGCTTTCTTATTAGAAATGCACAAATCTGACAGATAATCCAAAAACCTCGATTCCCAATTATGCATATTCTTCCTCACAAGACCAACGAACGTCTCGATCTCCGCAGCCGTAATATGTTTCTCCAACAATTTTCTGTTATTGTGTAAAAGCGCAGTGATGGTATCCTCTGCCAAAATATCATAGCCAATTTGCTTTTGCATAAACGCAAAATGTTTAGCTATATATTCCTGTGAAAATTAAATAAAGATATCATTTAGCAAATCAAAAATGAATAAGATGTATTTTGTGGATGTTACCATATTATTATTACCTGATTTTTCCTATAGTCTTGTTGTGACAACCTAAGTATACGATAACACAAACGAAACATATATTTGTATGGTGCGTGCCTTGGATCGTTGAGTTCCTCTATCCTAAGAAATGGTCCCTCGCCTTTGGCAGATTCTAAGAATGGTGCCTAAAATATACACTATGAATAGATAAGCGCCGCGTCAATTAATTTGATACTATGCACCAGATCATTTTTTTTTACCTGAAGTATTTTAAATAACTGGCCCAAAATATATTGTTCACGGAGTAACTTCTGTCTATCTCTAACGGCATTGGTAACAATCAATTCCAGCGCTTCGGATTTGTTCTGCTCGTTCTCCAGACCTGCTATGAAGAACACTATGTCTTGTAACAAACTAGTGACAGCTCGCCTCTCGTTATGTGATATTGTTCCCTTCTCCAGCTTGCCGCTTATCGCTGCCAAAACTTTACAAGCATCGTTGGCAAAATCGAGATCGCGAACCTCCACAGGAGACACAGATCGCAGTGCGAAAGCTTCCTTATCCTCTTTACTAATGGCACAACCGACCTTAAGAAATTAACACATTTTATTAATGTATACATATTATGATAATTACTTCTTAATGTCAATCGATAGTACCTTGGACATGACAGGTTTTTCGTCATCCTTGTCAATTGGTACACTCGTTGAGTGAACCCATGTATTTGTACATATGTGATGCAGTCTTACGAAAGATGACTGTGGCACTAAACTGTCGCCTCTTGTCAATGTTGTAGGATCCAGTTCGAACAAGGAACTAATTTCGTTGCTGTGTGGAACGGATACTAATCTATACACGGGTCCTGCTGGCTCTGTTGACAGAACAAATAATTATGTAGACACATTGATATTTTGGGAAACCTGTGACATACACATTTAAGAGATGCAATAGCAGTTTACATTGAATGCCTCGTGTGATTAAGAGACAGTAGATCATTTTATCACAGTATAACATAGCATGCATATCGTTATATCAATAAGATACAAAGTATTGATCGAAATGAATTATAAGATGTATGTAAGATGTATGTAAGATGTATGTTTGTGATAGAACAAATAATAATAATTTTTCTTGGTAGAATGTAATTAATATAATAAAATTAATACATTATAATTACAAGAGAATAGTTGCGAGAATAGTAGTACACATAAACATGCAAGGTGTACCGATCCTCAGGATATTTTGATTATACACAAAAACAATGAGGTTACGATAATTTTTCACAAAATTTTTAAATGGAGTCACCTCAAATTCATGGCTTGTGGTTGTGTGTCTAATTAATTAGTCATTAATCATTCCTCATGCCTTACCGCGCTTGCCTTTTATCATTTCACGTGGCTCATCCGTGTCTATTTCAGCAGCCAGATATTGTCCTGTGGCCAAATGCTTAAACCTAAACAACGAATTCCAGTGACCTGCCCCTCCTCTGCAGGGATCGTGTTGGACAACCTGGAAAAAGCATGAGATGTCAAGTCAATACGCAGCATCCTCACTTTTCCACTCTTCTTAGACTAAAGAATGTGCTGATGAGTACATATAAACTTAAGTTGCAATTCATAGCACTGAACTTAAGTAAGTAATTCTAACTGACCTCGACCTCCCATAGAGCTTTACTACTAGTAGCAGCAGTTGCACTTTGTCTACCAGTGGTCCTAAGAAATACGTGTTGCTTTTTCTTGTATTCATCCATCGTCAGGAACTTCTCCTGTTCAGCATGAAAGAGTCGGACCACGTCGCCACCCTTGAGAATCTCTTCCTGATTTTCTCGATGCTCCATGAACAGAGTGACTTTCCACGAGGTCGAAGAGTTCACCACGTTGACCTCCTTGCAACCAGGATTATCGCTAAGCTCGTAATTCGCTGCCACGTGTAATCCTTGCCGTCCTGCGTTCACCGGCTCCATGATGACCTTGTCACCGACGACAACGCTATCGCCGTCGCTTCGCAATTTGTAAAACGGCATTATGTAGAGCCAGGAGCCCTCATTCCCATTAGCGTCCAAGTACACCCTCATGGCATTCTTCTCGAGCAGAGCTGGCAGCCTCTTGTTCACGGTTAAGAATTTATTCGATTTAAGATGTAGCAGCTGGAGCATACAAAGGGCAAAGATATCAGAAAATTATTATCAAAAGAAGTGCAGTATTGTCAAAGGAGTAAATTTAGACTCAGTGTTTGCATACTCGATTGGTATTAAAATATTCTTAATCCAGTTGTATACCACTGTCTGAAATATATTTATACATATGCATTCTGCTTTAATTAAGCATCTTTTGAATATTAACCAGTTAATTCTGTATACAAGTCTGCATCAAAATGTTTATGTATATAACAGCCAAGGAAGGTACGATTCTTATTCCTTATTGAAATTCACCATCAAAGTACCAAAATGGCTCAACTGCTTTCACAAATAATAACATTTAATTGCGCTACGGTGACCACGATACATTTAATTTTCATAAATGTTTTTCAAGTCGCCAGCATTGATTATTCTAAGCAAGCTGCGATATCTCCAAGGAAATAAGTCCTAGACCTGACTTTCGTGTACTTTATAATAATAGATAGTTGTATCAGTTCAACTTGCTAATTAAATGGTTAAGTGATGTTCACGACACATTTCGAAGCGACAACCATAATTTATGGATAGCCGTCGGGGTTTTATAACTAAACCGAGATATTTGTGTCTACTAAAAATACACCAGCTCCTGTGTAGTCTATTTCGAGAAAATTCATTGAAATCACCACCTACCTGAACAACATTTCCATAGGAAACCACTGTGCCAAGGAGTTTCTTGTTCTCGGTATCATTTTGTTTTTTTTCGATTTCGGCTGCGTGCTGCAAAAATCCCAAATAGTTATCAATTTCGTAGCGTCTTTTTAATTATTTTTTTTTATTTCGCCACTGTCCTTCGGAAACAGACGTGACGAATTGTCGATCGAACCAAAAGGCTATTACTATGCAAATTCTTGAGTGACCGTATACCTTACAAGTCGTGTTACTAATTTACTCATCTCTTCTGTATCTTGAATGACGAAGGTCGCGGATAAAAAATTCAACCACGCGCGAAATCATTCCCAATTGTATAAACACGCGTTACGAATTGAGATAATATGAAGGAGAAAGAAAAAAAAATCCGAAGACGAGATAGTTTTTATACCCTCATTGAATATTACTATGATATCATCTAGTGAGTATTTCGACATCAAAATCCATTCTCTCGGTATCTCCCTCTCGTCTCTCATAAATGTTACAACACGGAACATGGTAATATCCCCACGGAAATTACTTTGAAACTCAAAGCGGATGACATGCTATAAATACGCAGTGAAACGACATTCTCCAAAGCTTTCTTGGAAACGTGGAAATAACGGCACTCGTCAATCTCAAGACGTTCCACTATTTTGTTTTTTCAACCACGGAAACTGAAGCTGTGCTATGGAAATCTCTCTCAAGCATCCTCTAACCCGCGAGCTCAGGGAGCAACGACTCTTGTAGACTCTCGTGAGTGAAATTGAAGAAACACTATGATAATTGTGACTTACGTGGAGTCTTTTTAGCAACACTGCATCGGTACTGGAGCTTCCGCTCTGCTTGGCTGCTTTCCAAAATTGCTTCTGTGCGGAATATCGATTCATGGGACATATTTTGAAGAGACAGTCTAAAAAATAAATAAATGAGCCCTTATACGTTAAAACTGAAGTAGAGAGCCCAAAACAGGTATCTACAATGACCAGTTAATTAATTCATCAAGAATCAGTCAAGTGATGCTGCGAGCGCAAAGCCATCAAGAGAATTAAAGATAAAAATCTTCATTTCGATAAATTTACTCATAGACTTTCGAAAATCAATTTGACTTCAGGTGAAAATCTCAGTCAGGAATTCACGCACGATAAATGAACTGATTAATATTTTTATTTCTCTATGATCTCCAAAACTATCATACCATAGAGCTTACAATTAGTTGATTAGACCATAGCTGATTGGGCTTTTCGAAGATATCCACAATTTTTCAATGAAACATGGAAAATTCCTATTGTTACCGTTTGACCCCTCGGGCATGGAGAAACATTCAAAACGGAACACCGACGTCCCGTTAGTTCAATTAACTCTGTGTGAAAGCATTATTCTAGCAATTACCTCGAAATTTTTTAGGAGGATTGGTGAGATCGCCAGCCTCGGGACATACGACACACCTGTCGTCCACCAATCTGTGAAAAAAAAAAGTAACTTAGCCAAACCGTACCTCTCATTGTTCTTCGCGACTAAAATAAATGCTCGATTGACGTATATTCATAAACAAAATTACAAAAGGTAAAACAACGTGATACGGTATCAAGGAAATTTCTGTATCGGACGTTTACATGAAAGACAAGTTTTTCTTTTTAACATAAACCTCAATCATTCGTCACATTAATTAACAAAAGACGAAACTTCAGAGGCGTCTGGAAGATTTATTTGTTTATTCGTTACATTCTTTCCTCGTAAGTAACAGACCAGTTGCGTCAGTAGTGTCGTTAAAAATCCACCGGTCCAAATAAGCAAAGGTCTCGGAGATCTTGCGACCAAAAAATGAAGTAGGTCAAAGGGTCTAGCCCCGTCACGTCTCTTCAACGGAAGAACCATATGCAATAACAAAACAAAATCACGTACAATACAATTCTTGGGAAATATCAGAGCGGTGGTTACCACAATGATTAAGAAAAGAGCAGCAAATTGAACCGGTTCACGTTATTTTTGAATAGGTCTTCAGTCCCGTTGCAACTACTCCGACAACAAGCGATTACTTTAATAGCGCCCCGATACGTATAAGGGGCTGATTACGCCATCGAGCATTCGGCGCCTTTTGTCGTCTGTGTACCCGATTTAGTAAGCTTCTGCTAAATATGGTACAGGTGATACGTATATGGATCGATATTAGGGCAGGCCATGTTTTGCCCGGGGCTCTCTAAGAGCGTATGGAAACGCGTTATCCGTTTCGTCAACTAAATATAGAAAGCGTGGAGGATCGCAACATCCTTTGGCTTTCGGACAATAATAATATTTGTATTATCTCGACGGTCCTGGAGCTATTCTCGCTTTCCAAATTTTTAAGAACCCTCTCTTTCCTCTAAACCAACCAACGGTTCCAGTAAGGTGACAGCTTTAAACATGTACTATATAATCTCAGTGGGATTCGAAAAAACATTCCAGATGAGATAAAATTACAAAGATATTTTAATCTGAACGTGAAACAACATATGAAAATTTCTCACATACGTTACGAACAATAAAACTTTTTTTAAACCTATTCTCTGAAGATTGCTGTACTACAGACTCTGAACTCTCTATCGATAAATATGTGATGTGCATGCCTACCAAATTGTAAGGGCAAACCTATTTATTTTTGGATTCGTATAAAAAAAAACGTCCGCATATTAAAAATTTGCGTAGATCCGTTGTCAGTATTCGCGAATGTGAGACGTTTTTCAAACACGTGGCGCAGGCGTCGCGACGCCCTGCTCCGTGAAATATGTTCGTTCATCGTTTCGCCGTGAATTGTGAAAAAAAAAAAAATTGACAGGTCTCTATGCACCATATGAGTATACTTGACTCTGACGACAGGTTAATGAACGAGGACTGTCGAGTCTCACGCATCTAATCGGCTATAAGTAAGTCAAGGTGGTATATTAATGAAAACGAAGTTTTGCATTAATAAAATTTTATTCCGAATTACGGATAAGTAAGAGTTCATCCCATGTGCGCAAAAAATCTGAAAGATACGAAAGAATGCATTGGAGGTTTTTCTTCATTCCTTACTTGAATCAGCTATTGGTAATGAAACAATTGTTCGACGATTGAAAAATAAATTATTCTTTGGAGTACTTGCAATCATCATATATGTATATAAATGTATATATTTCATGCGAATGATTCGTAAACCTTATTCGAAACTGCACGAGTGACAAGAACGCTCTACGCTTTTCCTACGCTCGCACCATGGCTCGATTAACCGGAAGGAATGATTTGAATAATACGATATTCTCCTGCAGATTGGGACATCCTGTATACCGGCCTGCACGGCGAACAGTCTCTATAGCATCGACCCGTTGTTCCACGTTAGTTTCATATTTAACCAGTTCTCACAAACGATGCTAGCCCATGTAGACACAAGGTTTTTCAATGGTTAAACGTCACTATAAGATCAACGCGGTTATGATTTGTCGACTGGTAACTAGAGAAAATTAGCTTCACCTGATTCGATAATAGAATTAACTTTAGACTTTCAGCCATTAGTCCTAAGCTGCTTAGCGAAGTCGAAGGTTGACAAAGGGTGTCATAGTAAAGACCGTGAAGAAGCTCGAGAGTTAAAATTTAAATTTTCCAAAATCAATACATCACAAACAAGTCGCATGAAAAAAGATGAAAAATAACGAAATTCGGTCACTTTTTTTTCAATTTTTTACAACAAAAAAAAATCATTTAAAAACTAATCTCAACTGTCCCCTTTCTATCGATATACATATACTATACATATATCATATATCCGCTATGAATTCTTCGCAATACCAAACGCTTACAGTATCACAGAAACATTCTTTCCCAACGTCGTATCTGTTTCACGCAACAAGCAATAAAAAACAAAAATTACCAATATTCGCTGCAACTCTAAAACAATATCAACCAAGTGATAGCAAGAGCTTCGTACCCTCCATAACTCGCAACTAGTACAAGCCGTGCTAATTAGCGAACTGCTCGCTCGGAGCTTTCATCAGGGCCTGTACGAATTACGCCATTAGCGCGTCCGTCCGAATCCTATACTCTGATAACAAAAGGCGCCGCACACGAGCCTACAAAGTAACCCACGTAGAGACAATGCAATTGTTCTACCTTGGATAGAACAATAAGACCCGTCGACGACGGAATTCTCGTACCGTTTAAATTAGCGTCGAACCGATACGCCAACCGAATAACGTCCAGCGTAGCGACAGTCGAGTTTGGAGTATATTGAATTTACGAGTTGATCGTGGCGGCTAGATAAATAGAAGGGAGACGCGAAAAGGGAGGCAGGAGTGATGCAAAGAAAAACCGATACGTTATTTCTAGAGCGTCTCTCGCACCACCGACGGCAACTGATTTATAACGAGAAAGGAGCCCTTGGAAAATTGTCATACGTACAAGATGCCGGAAATAGAGCGGAAGGAAATAATCCGAGCGTGTACCTCCTCTTCCCCGATCGGGCACGGGAAATGCTAATAAATGGATTTGTCGCCCAGGCATAATAATATTCATTATACGCAATAAATACGCATACGTATTGCATACGCGTTGGATATGATGCTCGTATGCAAACAATAACGGCAACAATTTACATGCCGTGCTTTATGCATAAAAAGAAATCTGACATCGGCAAAGGAAATTACAACGTTTCGCGAATGTGGAGCAGCGCCACATGGCGGATGTATAAATAATAATTCCCGAAATACCTTTCGAATCGTCTCGAAGCCAACGTGAAATTCGAACTCTATATGAAATCGTATGCATATAGCGAGTCCGTCGCGATTGTTTGTGTACTTCGTCATACGAAGTAAAAAAAGAAAAAGGTACCATATGGGCTGCGGTAATCGCCGGCCAAGTAGCCTTATCCGAAGTCCCATTCACATCCACGGCTGTGGTTTCAGTATACAAAGTGTACCTGACCCGTTTGACGTATTCGGAAGGAACCAATAAAAAAAATTACCAGTGAAGCTCGCAGCTGCTACTGTGACGGAACAAGTAAATAGAAAATCAGCCGAGATTCCTTCGCTATCGTGAAACAAAATAATGCCGAAGAGGCAACGAGAATATCTGTTTATTTACTTATGAATTTATTCGCGCGCGCCGGACGCAAATTTCAAAACGCGAACTTTCTTCCTCACGTGACTGAATAGCTGGGAAATTGAATAAAACAGTTGAACTGCTTCTGTATACGAATACCAATGCTCGTCGCTCGCGTTAACACGCGTCGATTAAGGAAACAGAAAAAAAAAGCGCAGCATCTAAATAGCCCGAAGTGGTCTTATCTGAGGAGAGCTCCCATTCACGCTCTTGAATGCCGTCTTGGTAGGCAAAGCGTGTCCGACCTATTTTCGCGTCGAAAAGCAATATACAAAGGCAGTAAGACGTGGAGTGCTCCATTAATAGTTCAGACCGAAAGAAAGTCTTGTCAAGACGTTTCCCCTTTGACTTGAGTTATCCCGAAATTTGTCGACATCTACGCGGCCTGAGAGACGCGTGAAAAGATTGTATATACGGAAACTGGTAGGAGTAAACGTTCGAAATAATAATAATATTGCGAAACCGTGAGAACGTAATAAATAAGTATAATAAATACAGGCAATTTCTTATTATTAAAATTTGGATTACAAATGCATACCGTATACGAAATATGACGGTGGCGGTTGGCAGGCGTAAAGTCATGATTATTAAATCAAGATAAAAACCGAAATACATTAATCGTATGTATCGCCTTGAATTTAAAAAAAAAAGTGTCCATTACTTCCACCGTGATTATCCAATTGGATGTTCCTCGTGTACTATATGCAAATTGAATAGAACCTCTTATGTACCGGTATATGCTAATAGAACCCGGTTGAAAAGTAGAAATAGCTCGTACATATATATGTGTACACAACGAATTTGGCTGTTTCTGCAAGAGTCACCGTACCGCGATAATCAAAGCTTTCTTCATTGAATACCAGTCGTACTTGCGACCATACGAACGCGCGCTAACGTTCCTCCCTCATTACTATGGACAATTGCACGAAACAAGCTTCGTCGTAATCTAATGCTCGTACCTTACGCGTGTATCAACCCTGTTATTATATTACGTTGAAGTTAACCCAGCTCGCGCGCCATAAAGCCGTCTATGCAGTCTTCATTGCGTCATCGTATTACGAACGTAACGAGCACGTCGTCGTAATAATACCGGCCATAAAATCTTAAAACAAAGTAAATAACGTGTCTCGGCTGTTGTAACGTGTTACCGGAACAATGCAGGCAAAACGCAGGGAGTCGACTAATGGAAGATATAATCGTCGTCGAAATATCACAGCAACCATAGTATACGTACATATAAGATAAATTCGAATCGATAAGATGGAATTAATTATAACCCTGAAACCCTGAGATTTATAAACAGATCACCGCCTTCTTAACCGCTGGACCAGTCCATCAGAGCACGACAATTCGCGTTAAACTTGCCAGAGTCTCCCCTACATAGTGATACCCTTTCAGATGCTGAGGTAACACGCGTTGATTAACAGGGTGTATCGTAAAGGGAGCACCTTATAAATTATCCGCCTTGCTCTTCGCTATCGGGGCCTACATAATAAGTCCATGGGTGCATACCGTAACGAGGCATAAGGCGGCGCTGTAAAAATACGTCAGAGCTCCATGCGGGTCTGGCCGCGTTGAGTTATTTGCCGTGAGCTCTAGGAAATTGATGCAACCTACTTTTATCATAGAAACCGGTAACGAGAAGCGGCAATTATTTTACACCCGTCACATATCCGTGCCTCCCTTGTATATACGTCTCGCAGGACTGGTCTCTTAGTGGTGCATAAGACGCCAAGAGCAAATACAGCTGTCGCCGAGCGACTGAATAGACGAGCGGCACGTTACATCTGCGCGCGAGATAGAAACAAGTAAAAAGTTGTTCGAATTCTGATACAAAAAAAAAAGGCAGAGAAGGAAGCGCTGTGAGAATCTACGAGCGTGGGATACGAATATTTTTCACTCAATTTCATCTCTGATCCACGTGGTCACCCGTTATATGTATTCTAATATCAGACACCTCCGGTACCTGTCTTATAGCGAAGTTCAACGTGAGGATCATTACCTACGATTATTCAGATGTGTAGTCAGACAGTAATTAACAGCAAATACAGTGACTATGTATATATCTATGACAATCTCTCGACGATCGTTGTTATAAGACATTGAGAGGCAGGATCGTTGTTAATAATTTTTGAAAAAAAAAATGTCATTAAAAACTAGCGTGACGAGTACGTGACAATTCGTAGCCAAGTTATACACGAGGCCGTCGTGTCTCCAGGTGAGAAAACCTTGAGCCGAAGATGTAAGTAACGTGTGAATGTCGCGTGTCGATAAGCATCTGAGGTCGCCGTAGGTAAACGTACACGCGTGAATGGACTAGCCATACGTCTTTACTCTATTGAACGAACCAAGCTGAAGGTGTTGAGGTAGGCTCGAAAGCTTCACGGTCGATCCGTTCGGTATTCCATACGGATCCTCGGAGCGTTATTGATTTCGTGAAGCTAACGCCAAGGGGCTATATCGACGTTAAATTAACTTTCAGCTTCGTACTGACATCCGGTTAACGCTGGCGACAGATAGTCACTCTCGTGTGGGATAAGTGAGTGTAGAATTTCAGCGATGATAATTGCTGAATTTTCATCAGTCGACCTCGGGATTGGCTGGCGATTACAGACGGTGTTTGTATATGCATTGTTAAAATGGGAAATAGGATGCTTGTCAAATATAATGCTATTAATACACGCCACCTTATGTAATTGTATACGTACTTGATTAACGTGAAATTTAAGTAAGTAAATACGTAGAAATAGCTCTGTTAATAGAATATCCATTCGAGACGGTAATAATGCCGTGTTTTGGAATTTACTTCGTTCGCATCCTATTCTATACGTTTACTCACGTATCCGAGGCATTTGTCGAGAGTGTATGGTTATTCACGTATTTATTTTCGCAAGAAGACGATCGCTTAGTTTTTTTCAAGGAATTTTCCACTGAGCTTCATTCTTACGAATATTTATTGTATATCAGTGTGATCGAGCGACGTTCCCGGAATTGTTGATTGGAACGAAGATTATTTCGACACGGGGTATAGCGATGTAAGTAAAATTGATCCTTGTTAAAACAAAAAAGGCTTTCGTTTCTAGATTGAGACGTTGCTAAACGTAATTAATCAATTATTGATCGATGCAATGTTTACCCCAAGGTCGAGAGAAATCCAGAGACATTTCCCTCGGCGTAGAGGCTGACGATGTCGCCAAGGTGAAGGAAACTCGCCGAACCCAAAATTTCCCCCATCTTGATAGAATTCACGTCCTTCTTCGGCTACTCGTATCAAGGACCCGCAGTTGGCCCCTTACTGAATTAAGCTCGTCATGGCTCCGACTGTAAATTAAAAATTAGGAGTGTCAGAAAAATTCCAAAAAAAAATATAAAATCGCCAAGTACCAATAGCCATTCAATGGATAGATGGATGATCCATTGTTAACGTAAGGTGAAATTTCACACTGACAACAATGTCGAATTTACGAGTATCGAACGTCGAGGAAGTTTCGTGAGGAAAAACAAAGCATAACGGTTACTTCCACTGTGGTTAAGGTATGCGCATAAATTGTATAGAATCGTATAGTCATGTACACAAATTTATTGAAGCTGTAACAATCACGCGTTACTCGTTTTGCACATAAATTATGTACACTAATAAAATTATGGCATCCATCAATAGATAAATCTTTGTTGTTATTTATTATTAGTTGAACAGTTCTTAAAAAAAAAAATTTGAAAATTTTACATAAAAAAGATTGTCAAGGTTCCAGTAAAATATACTAACCGTTACCATACGTATCTTAGATTAAGTCACTAGACGGAGGCGATAATGACAGGATTGCGTTCAAAATTAAATTGCCCCTTAACCTTTATGCGAATGTATATATCGGGTGGTGTATTATTAGGATTCGCTTTATGAGAAAAATCAATAGGCTGCTTTCAAAATCGGACAACATATATAAACAGGATGGAACAGTTTGCGGAAAAATATTAATATGTTAATTGTACGTTTTACTCCATTAGCAAATCATACATAATCAAACTGATCAATTCTAATATAAACCAAAAAAAACTTTGACTCTTATTAGCTAAACTAAATCCAAAGTTTCTTGTTGAATCATATATCGATTTTTCAGGTAAACATTATTATACGCAATTCGTAAAAGCTCTTATCAATAATAAATTCGTTGAGCTCCCTTATTTGTACACGTTATATATTGTATTGAAAGTCAAGCCGATACTACAAACCAACCAGCAATGTCAACTGCAATGTACACCGTATAATAAGTCATACATGTACACATGCATGCGTGGCTGGTTGTCAGATTAATGCGAAACACGTGATTTCAGATTGGCATTAACTAACGTTGAATTAGCACTGTACGATGAACCAACATATCATCGAACTGTTTCATTTTAAAAATATCCCGTCAAATATTTCATAATGATTACAACGTTCAAAATTATCTTGTCGCAATGTTTTTTACAAAATAAGTAAAACCCGAGTTTCTCCACTAGCCTTGTCGGCTCAGTGCACCAGGTCTAGCAGACCAAGTAGCACATACGAAAAACGAGTTTTGCACTTGATACATAAAGGTGTTTCCACAATGTTGACCTCGGCGATAGATCAGCTTCTTGTTTTATCTGTAGCTGATTCAAGCAAGTGTACATAGGGCTTATGTATACGAACGGGAAGAATAAGTATATAGACTTCTATGTATCCAACCCTGTTTGTGTATACAGATAGCGGGTGATAGTGGGTAACGCAAACGTTCTATTCAAATCGTGTTATCCCGCAGACAAAACTATTAGCTCGGAAAGGATTACGGATTTATATAGGTTTAATCGTCTCGTGAAAAAATAACTAGAGTCATAGGGGAGATTACTGGGGAAAAATATATTAATTAAATATTATAAAACCTCGATTAAGATGTCATTGACCATTTCAGTATTTTGATAAAATAAATAAAATTTATTGGTCCTTCTTCCTATTTTGGTATAAATAAATATTTCCTAAAACGAGGGTATAATTGTTTCCCGAATACCTTGAAATTTCGTCACACCTCGTCTGCTAGGAAATAGGCACGTTAGTAGCCCCTTACTATAAGTAAACCATTAAGATCGATCGATTCTAGATATAATTTAATATCACGCAAGGATATATAGATATAAACCTCGCAGAAAATGAAAATAACGAAATATTAATATATCTCAGGTAAATCTTTTGTCGAGTACTATCATTTGTTCCCTTAAACCCTATATCCTCTTGTGCACGCAAGAGGAATAAATCAAGATTATATATATGTATACCAGAGAGATTTGGCCAAGTTCCAAAAAACAATAATGTGGCGTGAATGAGGTAAATGTCCAAGAGGCATTTCCGGTACTCAATCGTGATTACGGCTTAAAACGTTGTACGCTGCTGAACAGTGTTTTTTCTAGATTTATCCAGAAATTCAGAAAGGGGAAAATCAAATAAGAATATAGATAGCTGTAATGACAGATACGTGGCTCGAGAGGCCACCCATGAAATATAAATGGACAGTTAATTGAGAAGGAGAACGTTCGTGTACTCGAACAGGGACTAGTAGACATCTTGCCGTATAAGTTTGCAATTTATATTTATAGCGCTGCTATATTACAATACGAAAACAGTGCACAGATGTTTATTTCGCAATGCGCATCACGCATCGTCCAATAATCGTCAATTGAGTACCAATATGGTATAACAAGAACGCTTCGTGTTATAAGTATGAAATCTTGTCCTCGATATCGCAACTACATTTATGCTATTTTACACCGCTAGACGATACGTTTAGACATTTTATTTATGCGACAGATATACGTATTATAATAAAATGTTGCAATTAATAATAAACAATAAAAAGTCTGAAGTTTCGATTGATTCCTTTTTTTTGTTTACATAGATAATCAATTTTATCATTCGCTTAGTCATTTCCGCATAGAAAGGTGAAGAAACTATAAATTACCGTCAGATGCCGCCATTAACCCTTAAAGATATATATTCTAATGGACTCGAATTAATTAATCATTCTATTCTATGAATATATAAGCGATATGGTGAATTTATAGAAGTATGCTACATGGTGGAGTACTTTAATCCAAGATATATCTACGTAAGTCTATAAGGAACGCTACGAACGTGCTGTTATATTAAACTTCACTTAGGAATGCCACTTCCGCTGTTGGCTGCCATTATCGTTTATTAATGTTCCCTAATCATTCACAGTAATAAATCATTCTCTGATCCAGCGTTGTACGATATTGAATTTTTTATATTTTACGAGACTTGTGATTTTTATCTAATTGTTTACTTGACAAATCAAATTTCAAATAATATGATTTCGTATGATTAGAAAAATATCATTTGAGAACCTCTGCTTTGAGCTTTGATGAAGTCGTAAGTGACATCTAAAAAGGTCCAAGACCCTGTCGAAGCAAACAGCCGACCGATAACCAGATCTATCAACTAAACGCGCGTAATGCTTAGACACTGTTGATCTGTTTAAGCTGAGCCATGTAACACATCACTGACACAGATATTCACAAGCAATTAAAATGCCGAGGACAATTTTAAGAATGAATATTAATTCTTGCCACGATTCAAGAAATAATCTTTAAAAAGCTCAGAGCTTCGGCTTGTTGCAAGAAAAAATGAAGAAAAAGGAATAGAGAATCAAAATAGCGTTTCGTTCCTCTGGTATATCTTATTCATACACAGTATTCCTTTGCTTACCATAGCCTTGAGAATTCAAAACTTTTAACGTCCTTTTATCCTTAGATAAAATTCTGTCACTGTTAGGAATATTAATGTATTACAAATTTTAATTTATGTGTAATTCATTAAGGTAATAGACTTGCTTCTGTATCTCTGCAAGGTTTCAAGGGATTTGAGGAAACTGCAGTTCCACAAGATTGACTTGAGAATAAATAAATATGTCAGGTAAAACAAGAAACCTGTACTTTGCACGGAATAATCATTAACGTGAATAAAAGAAAAGAAAAAAGATTGTGTATACTCACATCCTCGACACTGAGCTCCGGTATTGAATATTGTTCACGCACCAACAATCGTCGACGATTTTACAATAACTACCCGATAGTTTTCAGATATATTTAACTAATCTCTCCAGAGAACACATGAATCGTAAGGAATTCCCGACTCCTTTTCCTTTCGATTTATTCGATACGAAGTCACCGTGTCACACGAACGTACAGTGCGGTTTGTCAGCCACGACTATAAACTCAAGACAGTTCGACCGTGCGCCACTTCGATCACAGGGAAAAAAACTCACTGTTTCAAGTACACCCTTTCGTACATCCTTTTTTGTTAACAATCCACTATCTTTCTCTAACCCGGTGTATTTTAACGACTCCCGGATACTTGTTATGCTACACTCCAAACCAAGTAAAGAGAACGCAATCGGTACACAAGCAATGCTATTCTGACCGCACGGTGGTTCTGACACGACTGCCGACGGAACTCTACATATGGCAGAGAGTGTACCGGATAATCGGTAGGCTACAGTGCGTTCCAGAATACTCCGCTGAACCTTTCAGTGAATTGATCAAGCACAAGTGTATTGGTAATGTGAAAACCGCCGACTTATTGGACACAGAAGTTATCAAATCTTTCAAATAAATATATTAGCGTTTGATAGTACAGATTTTTTGTTGTATTTATTAAGAACTCAATGCAAAATCATATTAAGTTTTATAAGATTAGGCACTCGTGTCTAACCGATATTAAATTATTCTTGGCTACAGGCGGTAGGATTCTAATGTAGTATTTCAATTCCCACACTGCAGTTGCTAGGTAATTTCTTCTTTGGCTTTCGCTGCGTTCCCTACTGGAGAGAAGTGGAACGCGGTGGAATTGCTTTCGATCGTAAAATGTCACAGGGTATATGGAACAGCGGAACAGTGCGCGCGCATGTGATGGTTCCGCGGGTATTACAGAGTTCGTTTGGTAAGTTATTAATTAGACACTGTTCGGAATTTTACTGATAGAGGGTATCATGTGCGCCAAATAGAAAAATCGGTCGGCCGTCGGTATTATTAAGATTGACGTTGGACAAACGTAAATTCTTTTTTTAAGTTGAAAGATTAAGGAAAAGATCCGACGTATTGTTTTACATACGGGAGACGTATATTGATATTGATATATTCCAATTCGGATTGCAACAAGGAATGTTAGAGATGGATGACAGCCTTGAATGGCTTGTTTGATACATGGTGGGAAACTTGAAAGTTCAGTTTCTACAAAGCGTACTAAATGGAAATAACCCAAACTTACTAGTCGTATTCAAACATTTCAAAAATTTGTAACACTTTTGGTATTTTCTAGGGAGTTAGTACAAGTACATAAGTGATTCTCGGCGTTCTTGTGCTTTTTTCTAATCTCAGTCGTGTCAATAAACTGTCCCCACTGTGGTTATAAAATTCGTTTGTATACCGTTAATTAGTTCCAGCATTTTCTAATTTCCTGTTAATCATTTTTAGTGGGCCTTGTCGTGTTACGAGGAGACGCAGTAAATGAAGAAGTCGAGAGAAGTAAATTATTTTTGTTTTATTGTACCAAAAAATTGCATCTCGTCCAATCATTGATTCAATATAATATATTTATCATTTATATTTGTTATATTTCATTTATAATAAATATTTATAATAGTGTAGTGTTCATTCTTCTTGTTGTTGATTTCATTATTGTGTTTTGCCATAAAAACGTGGAATCGTCGTAGTTGTAATCGTCACTAAGCTACCTAAGTGACAGCATCATTAAAAACGTTCCGTGGTAATGTCTCTATGTAAATATTAATAACTTGTCCGTAAATCGGCACATACGGTTAACACGTCATGTTGAAATTGCAACTGTGAAAAACGTCCGTATTGAATTTTCTCAAGCGCAGAAGATCGAAAAAAAAATAGACGTCGCCATTCACCCATAATTATAAAGATCCAACTGGCCACCACTGTTGGTTAATTTCAATCTGTCTCTGGCATACGTGAATTAATCGATTCGGCAACAAATAGAATTACCGCACTCGCCGTTCGGTGTATTACGAAAATTTCGAATTCGCAAAAAGCATTTCAATTTCAACTCATTGCAATTAAAGAATGTGACAACAACAATATACTGCGAATAAATTGATTGTTAGGTGATCGATAAGAATCCTACGTATGCCAATATACAAGCATGTATGTAAACGACACGCGTAATATAGCAGATCCAACAATATCAAATATAACAAATATTTTCGAAAGATGTAGGTTCGATTATAAAAGGAACCCAAAACCACAGGATATTACGTAGCTATTGAATCAAAACGTTCAAACCGTAAGGACGTTAACATCTGCTATTGTTACTCCCGTACCACGAAACGAAATTAGACCCAAAGATAAATAATCTGTTTTGTATATAATATTTTATGAAAAAATTATTTTTGCATTTCATATTAATCCATTCTCTCCCGATTCCAAAAATCAAGGATTCGTTACGACGGCGAACATAATTATAAATACACAATCAGTTTCGTGGTAAGGCATTTTGAGAACGGTCCGGATGCCAAGATCGTCGTCGTTATTACTGCGACGTCAGATACAACATAATTTTCTGATTAACGACGCTATCGGTATTATTCAATGTGGGTTAAAATGAAACATTCCGATATCCATTTGGTACTTCGACAGACAGGTTATTCTTTATCGCGACAAATCATTTGTCCAGTCACGTGAAAGTACAACGACGCTCGACATCCGTCACTCGGCTGATCCTACAACACTGTTCATTAGTACTGTTAATTAACACTTACGTACAAACTATCCTAGCACAGGGATTGTAGGTACAATGCCCTTTTACCAAGTCCTAGCGGAACAACATTGGCACGTTGACACGAAACGAAACTCGATAGTAAACGTTAATTGCGAACATGTAAGTGACTAGTATCGTTAGTCAAGATAAACATTGCTGAATGGACTGTACCCGAAGATACAACTTTACCCATGAAGACCATTCCACAATCAGGATATACATTTCCATGGGTTTTATTTTCTACGGTGTCGAAAGACCATAGATGCCAAGAAAGCACCTCGCAGACAAAGAGTACAGATGACTCTTTAAAGAGACTGGATAATATTTTCTATGTTCACAGAAAATTGTCAATAAAACAGTGCCCGATTAAGCCGACGATAAGTGTCGTGACTCGAGGTTATGTCTGTAAATGAAAAATGGGACTAGGAATTCGTTCGACTCTGTGCGCTATTGGCCGCCAGTAAAACGTAGCAAAAGATACCACTGTACTCAACGCGATTCCCCAACAATTCGAAACTACGCTTTCAAATATAATTTCCATTTATAAAATGTAGTTGTTATCACTTATCTTCGAAACTTATGCACTACGTAAGAAGCCTAATGAGTGCTCTTAACGCATCACTGATAAACGCGATGTTTTATTTTGTCTTCGCGTTTCTGCTCTCATTTCTATTCTTCATCCAAGCGCACATCAACAATTATATTTCATATGCGCCACGTTCTTTCGTCCCGCGAAACTTTACCTTCCTTTGTTCCTATCTTTATCACTGGCAGCTCTTAATCAACTAACTCCAATTGTATCACGCTACATCCATATACCCAAAGGACTGTCACTACTGTGAATGGGAATTGTAATGCTTAGTGTTCACGAGTGAACGATGGTAGGTTATCGCAAGTTTCTCTATGTATTTCTTTTTCGTACGGCTGCTTGCTTGATCGCGCTGATATCGCAGTCTTCGGAAACGAATTCTTGTTTATTTATATATTGCTCGTGAAAGACCCATAGTTTATTACGTATCCTTCGTAAAACGTATATAGTCATAGACATCGTGCGTAATCAAATAAAACGAGACAAAATTTACTTTTAATTGCGAAACAGTATTACGCGTCCCATGGGACTGGCATTTTGAATTGATTATCGAATTTTTTTTACTGTAAATAGATTATTTGTACTTCGGTAAGTATGATTATATATGCTTATAGACTAAAATTATAAGGGAAAAAAAAGAAAAATTAAAGAACGTTAAAATCCCTCACCGATAACTAACAAAATTATCATCGTCATGGAAACGCCGATGGATAATACTCGTCTCCGTCGTGATGTCATCAAGGATAAACAAACACCATTTGCGACAAAGAAAAACAAGATTATTATTCGAGCTAACTTTTCACTCTCGTTAAACAATGCTGCTTTATTAGTAAATCGACGTACTTATTGTTAAAGTAGTAAGAATACGAGCATTAACGTACAACTAGTTAATAACGTAATAATTATCGTAGAGCGTGAGATCTGAGAACACGAGTTGGTTGACTCAGTTTTCATTCCAATCGAGAGAAGCACTCGTCCGATCCTGGTTTTGCGTTCTCGGTTTTGGCAACGACCAAATAAGGAATCAAAAAAAAAAAAAGAAGAAAATCACAAGAAGTTGGAAGTAACAGGAGAATAGAAGACAAGGAAAGCATGTGTATGTACATTGGACGTATAGATACGTATGCAAATTTGATTGAATTGTATAACGAAATCTAAATTAATTATAACAACAAAAAAAGAAGAAAAAAAAAATCAAGCTTCTTATACATCAGTTGTACGTTTCAGTGCCTTATTTACCTCATACCGAAAGAATTATTATGCACTATTATGCTTAAAAATGGAATACACCAAGCACGTGGAATCAGACTGCAAATTCTGTACGAAGTGAAATGCATTTGAGTAGAAGACGAAAATATATTAAATTTACAATTTTCAAATTTCACTTTTTAATAATGAAGTATGAATGATAACTCACATGACATCTAATCGTTCAGGTCAACTGATTTAATCATAAAAAATTAGTTTAAATACATTGCCGTGCATATAAGCTATCGATAACGCTCTGTCTAAATCATGACCCAGATATGGCGATTTGAAACAAGACCAAAACAAAAAAAAAAGCGAGCGCAAGAGTAGATAAATAATTTTTGCGAAATGTAGCGTAAAAATTCGTATTTAGCGAAGAAAATTTCGTTTCCCGAAAATAGATGTTGATTCGCGTATAAGGTCGTAAGGAGAAAAAAAGAAGAAGACCTAAGTCCGATCAGTCCGAGTCTTGATTCTCGAGATGCCTTCGGTTTAGCAAAAGGCCTTAAAGAAGAAATGGGCGATAAAAGCTGATAGAAAAAAAGGCAGTTCATGCCTCAGAGCATTAAACGCTCATTGGACTGTCAAGATAAAGCAAAAAAGTTTCCCGCCAATCCTAAAACCAGCCTCTGTCCGCAACAGAGAAGAAAACATAAAAGACTCGAGATTCCCACGTAACAGATAAATCGCACGCGAAGAACAAGACACGCACTGATCGGAGCATTTAATGGCGATCGATTAAACGAATAATTGAATTTTTCCACTAAAAATAACTTACACACTAAAGAAAGTAGCTACACCGAAAACACATCGGTGTTTTAGTTCCTGACAATTTTCCTTAAACACCATCTATGCCCTGTGTGCATCACCGCATATGCATTTACTAGTTAACGTGTATCCCTTGTCACTATTCGCCACTGTAATAAAATGCGATTGCTTCTCAGGATGGAAGTTTGTACGGCATAAGGTGGGACGTGATAATGAACAGAAGAAAAAGATAGCGGCGCTTCAAATATAATAATACAACCTAATACAGCTACGAAAGCAAATCTCTCAATGATTTCCGAAGGCCGTGTTACGACTTCTTGTCATTTATACAACGTTACTTCAATGTTATCCATAAACAAGGTGATACGATTGCATGATAACAATTAGTCGCGGCGCCACGTCACGCCGAGAGATCACAATGGTCTTCCACAAATTTAGCGACTGACTCGATGAAGTAACGCATCAAAACGCTTTGCATAGCAGTTCTTAATTCTTTTATCCGCCAATCTTTTTTTTTATATCGCATCTTTTTCTCTCTTCACGTGACAATTACAGCTCCGAGGAAGAACCACACCATAAGGCACACTCCTTCGCCACGAGGGCACTGTAAATCTGACCGATGGTGAGAGACCCGCCTTGAATCTTTGGAATTCCATGTATACGATGTTTGGCTTATGTAAATCAAAGTGAAAATGCGCCAGTGCTCACGTAGGTACGCATGCACGCGTTGCATGCGTATCTAGACGTATGTATCTATACACGTGTGTGCATTCATTGGACATTATGAGAAAACGATGAAAAAGGAAACGTGAAAGATACGCAATCCTATGGGTTCGTCGTAAGCGTGAAATAGACTGTGAGGGTCGAGTGACCTGAACGCATCGTACGGCGCTTTCATTTTATTTTCACTATTATTCTCCTGGTTTGGATTTACGATGGTCGCACGTCATAACGTATAATTATTGCTCTCCGATTATTTGGCTTAAAGGAGGCGCTATTCCAATTAATACACGTCTCTTGGTTCGCACGCGTGGCCTGTACAAAACGTGCAAGATCAATAAGGTCTATATCGATAGCGATAATTCTGTTGCTTTTTTTAGATTTCGGGTCAAGGAGTACCTGAAGTTACTTCGAGATGTCTGAAGTCTTCTTGTGACCGCTGATGAATATCGTTGATTTTTTTTCGAGCATCGACGATGAAGCAATGCCACGTCTCGGCGCGTAAGTGGGATATGCACACTTTGAGGATTGGCGATTTCAGCAGGTGACAACACGATGATGTTACTTGTTGAAATAATCGAAAATCCATCGATGAATAGTTGCCGATTGAATCTTCGGTATTCGTGTCGTTGTATCTCTTCATTTAAATCGGTAGTAGGATATCGTCCTATTTTGCTCTTACTGGTGTACCCTACATGAGGAATGAGTAATGGAAATTGAAAAAAGAAGGAATATCGGTATAAGTCAATTCAAGGAATCAGGAACGAGAAAAAAGATGGCAAATGGAAATGCTTTGGACGATAAAGCACAATATTTAAGATGTCTACTTGAGGTCTTTGAAGCTGCCTGTTATCATTGTGATGTAGAGCTTAAATTATATGCACTGACTGTGTTAATCAAGCAAAAGAATGTGATGCTTATCCAAAAGGCGACAATATAAAGACCGAGTAATCGTATCGGTTACATCTATAGAAAGTTACGTTCCTCTAGTTTCTCGGATTTAAATTGTATTCCAGGCGGTATTGATACATACAGTACTCCACAGTACAATATATAGACGTGCCTTTGGCGAGATAGACCTTTTGTAATACAGCTCCGAGGCTAGGGAGCATCACTAAGAGCATATAAAGAATGACTATGATGTGAATGATGTTTTTACGTACAATAGGACCTGCTCCTAAATCCCATAAAGATTATACGTAATAAATCTCTCGCAAGAACGATCAATAGAATGAGTATACTGAACGACGCGACAGGTGCACTCTTGACTTCGATATAACCCATAAGATCCAGAGGGTGCCCTAATTTTCGCGGAGAACCTATATCGTTATGATCTCGCACTTACGCACTTGCCACTGTAGAGAATACAGGACTAAGAGAGGATCCCGTGAACCGAAGATGCTGTGTCTAGCAGCCCGAAGAACGCTAGTTCCGAAATTAAACGTGCGTGTCGTAGCGGTGGATGAACGGAGGTCCTGAAGGATCAGAAAGAAGCTTCTATTTGGTAGGATGAGTGGTTGGAGTTTACAGGGTTTTAAGTTTAAGGATATGGGCATGGATGGTAAAATATTTGGTTACAACTCCATATCTTGCGCCTCGTCCTCACTGAAGTCGCTCATTGAGGATTCGCTGTCGGACGACATTCCATTTCCTGTACCGCCATTTTCCTGGTCCCTCAATGCCTCTTCTGTCGCATATTTCCTAACGTAATCTGTTACGGAGAAGCAGACATGCAAACAGAATTAAAATAAAATTTTGAATAAATAAGAATAATATCAATTATCAGTGATATAGTCTGACGGAACTCACCTGCGACTTTCTTCTTGTACTCCTCAGGTTTGTGAAGGTACATGGCGGCGGCGTCGCCATTCAGGGGGTCGATTGGATTGGGATATGTTAGCAGCTGGGGCAGGAACGACTCGAAGATATTCGACAAATCTGAAATGTTAACAAATCCAGTCAGAAATGGCCCAAGTCTTTGTTGGTTATTTTCTTTTGTTTTATTGACTCACTAAAGCCTGTTGCAGGTGTACCAAACATTATGGCTCACCAATTCCAAAAAAAAAAAAAAAAAACCGTTTACCGAAGACAAACAACACGTACCGTACAAGGCGGTCCAAGCCTGGTTGATGACGTCGAGACATACAGTACCCGAGACTTCGTCAATGTTCGGGTGGTATACCTTATTCATAAAGCCGATCGAAGGGGATTTGAAGGGGTAATGCTCTGGCAGGTGCACCCTCACTTTCCATATTCCACCCTCGTAAGGCGCTGCAACACAAACTTATCAGTACCACGAAATCGGAATTACGTGCAGGTGAAACAGTTAAATATCGCAACACACTAACATGAAGAAACGCAAATATACCAGAAGAAATAATTTCTCTTCAGCGATGTTACATTTGATAAATCGAATCGTTCAATTGTATTTCTCTAGCATGGAACATAGAATAATGGCGATTGCGAAAAATGGTAGAAACGTCGTCCAATATTTTGTCGAATCATCAGTGGAATTCTATTGCAAGCTTTGTACGGAGGATCAGACGGACACAATAGTGCAGTCTACAAAAGAATTTCACGCGACATGAAATAAGACGTAGCAAATCCACAATTTATTTCGTTTCAATTTGAAATTGATGCACCGAGATAAATTGAAGATGAAATCATCCTGACAACTAGTAAAACCATGTCTCTCGGACTTGGCTTCGTTCTGCTTGAACTATTTGTACATTTATTGCCAATTCACCGACGCACTTGAATAAGCAAATGTATACGCTAACCGTCCTTAGGCATATCTTCGGCCTGCAAAATTTACCACTCTACTGCCCTAGTAACGAGGTATACGCTAGTGACAACATGAAACCAGTACTGGTCAGTAAACGATCCAAATAGGATGGGACGTTCGGAATTCCAAAGAGAATTATTAGCCAAATACAGTACGGAGTTGAGAATTTAAAAAAAATTCAAAGTTTGTTTTTTCTCTCGCCTCAACCAGTGTTAATAAGATCTCACATTCGATTACGAGCAATCAATCGCAATTATAGTCGGTCCGCTACGAGCCAAGTGTGAAAAAAGAAAATTATATTACTTAAACGTCTATTCGCCAAATTCACAATATACATAGAAGTGAAGTCGTGTTTTTCGTTTATTTTCCAATAAGAAATTATTCAACGAACGACAAACAATTCTTCACTGCATCCAAACAGCGACTGCTATTCGTGAGCCATACTTGTGGGCACGCACGTGCGTTTCCGAGTCTCCAGTGAAAGTAACTATAGTCGTGACTCCAGCAAGAAGCGTGAATCAATTTTTAGTAGGATAAAAGTCAGCGTTCCAGCGTTGTACTACTATTGCGCAAGCGTATTGGATCCTTATTGAATAAAGAATACAGAGAAGGATATACAAAGAATCGTTACTGAACCTAACGTAATTCCCGAAGTCCGTGAAATTATCAACGTAACGTTTAGCTGCTGTTCCGAAAAGTGGTGTTTATCGGTAGCTAAAAGTAAAAGGCCTTTTGCAGTCGTGCGATTACGAGTCACCCATGCGGAAAGGGGCATGAGAGAAAACCGGAAGTGTACCTTCTCGTGTAGAGTAGTGTATCGAAAAAACGTTTCAAACCGTATGCCTGACTGTAAATCAAAATATTGAACGATACAATTTCTCTCAGTAACTTTTTCTCACAGATCCCTTGTCCTGCGATTTCACGCAGATGCAGCATGCAGTTGCATTTCGATTTGAGTCAGCGTCATAGCGCTTTGCGCTTGACCGAGTAACCCAGTTTCGGTAGTGCTCGCATCGCGACGTGTGGGTGCTCCTTCCTAGTGTACCAATCTCCAATCCTGCGACCTGGCATCGATATCAAAAGCTGTAACCGAGCCCACGGGACACGTTGTCTTTATTTTATATATATTTTTACTTCAGCGCACCTTTGTCACTTATGATGACGTAATGACAAGCGTAATCAACAGAGTGAAGTGGCGTTTAATTGGGTCGTGCCTTATAGACCTAAGGAGAATCAGTAACAATTGGTAGACTGAAAAAAATAAATAAAGAAATTTGTGTAAAGAATTTTGGTTGTATGTGCAAGACAAGCGCGCCTCACGGCTTAGTAATTACTTTGATTGACGAGAAGGCACAAGAGAGTACCTTAAGAAAGAGGAAAGAAAAACAAGAGGAAATATGAGATAAACTCGTGGGTTTACTTTAACGTTGATTTTTATTTACCCCGGACTGCAAAACGGAATTTTACAAAATTTCTCGAATTTTCATTCGCGTTTGTCAATATAAGAGGGGTCCTGCGCGTCCTCGCTTCCGGTCTTCTTTAGATTCACCAAGCTTTGCGCACAGGCAGCTGAGGCATTACCAAAGCAAATACACATGGCTACTTGCGCTTCCTTTAACGCGTAATTCCAAAGCACGTAAAACTCTTCAATGGATACGCGCGTCGCGAACGAAAATGGCAGATATACGTTGCATAAAAAGATTTTGAAAAAAAAGTACATACATTTTTTTTATTTTTAAAAACTCAAAATACAATTCAAATGAAAGCATTCGTTCGCGATTTATTTTATGTAGCTACTCTAGAATTCATTTTTATTCATTGAATTCATCTCCTTGCCAGAGTGCTGCCTCTTACATTCGAACGAATCGATCCCAGGGCTCGAACTTCCTTATCGACGTTCCCAACAAGGGATGCAAGTGCACGAGATTCCGTTTCATCAGTCATTCGTTCAAGCCGTCCTCGGTTAACAAATTCAAATTTGGAACTAGCACAAGGTTCGCCATGCTTAGTGAATTGTAGACGGAAATGAATTTAACGTCGCTAAATTACAGCTGTTATTGACGCTAATGTGTCCTTATTATCATACAGCAAAGTACGCGTATCACAAACAATGGGTTGTCACAAGGATATATAATACACTGTATATACACTTATAAACACTACACCTTACAGATAATAAATCTATTTTCACAAAAATATTACAATCCATTAACCAATGACCGTTTAGCATCTCGTTTCGCGTCATGAAAAATCCCCCAGTAATATCGTCACTCACCGTGCAAGAACAGCTGTTAAATTCGCGCAACGTAACGATCGACGGAAATTTTTCTAAAACTCGTTCACGAACCACGTAAAAAGAAACAAAGAAAGGAAACATAACGACAAATACGTGTATGTAGTTATACGCGTGCTATTTTAAAATAGAATGACCGAGTTTCGTCGAAGACGGTATAGCGCCCCCGTGAAGACGCCTTAACTTAACGTCAGCGCTCAAGCAGTCTCGTTGTGAATTTCCTTTCGAAATTTAAATTCCGAGTCGAGACAAAGAGTATCGCATTTCCGTTTCCCTAATGCCCTGCTGCCTCTTGCCATTAAAGCATTATAACGCAAGGCCACTACGAACGCAAAATCCACCAGCGGAGACGCACAGAGCTCGTTTGATCGATACATCCGAGTGCTGCAAGTCGCTAAGTAAACGAACTTTCTTTCGCAACTATTATACTTTACGATTCCAAGCGAGCGAAAGCCATTAGCCAATTGGCGATATTCAGCGTTCGTTTTCTCTTGCGCCAACCGATACCCGAACCTAGGTCAACGAACGATTCCTCGCCCCGACTATATCCTGACGAAGGCACAGTGGTCTTTACCGACGACCCCCCCTTAACCAGCGATCCAGCATTAACAGAAACGAAGGTAACTAATTAGACGCGTGCAGCAAAGCGAATAGACGCAGCACGCAGGTTACCGGTAAAATCCGCAATCGTACGTTTTATGCAATGAAATTGTGAAAAACATTGCATCGTAGCGAAGCGTCGTAGAAAGTCGCGTAGCGTATAGAATCCAGTAAACGGTACTCGTACTTTAAACCCACTAGAATTAGATCTCGGGCTTCGCACGCGCTGAATCTAATAATCTGCTTTACAATTTTTACGATCGAATATAATATTGCTGATGCGGAAATACGCATTGCACGTCTATCAGAGATCCCGGACTGTTGCAGAAATTTATAAAAGAAACAGTTTCGAGTCTACGGGAGGTCGAATAACCGATCGATCAGCCTAGCGACCCATTAATCTTTTAGTAAAGGGAATAGTGCGTTTCCCTGTTGGGAAATATTAAATGGTAAAAAGATTTAAAAAAATAGAAAACCTTATATACGTGCAGCTGCCATAGAAACTGTTGCACGTAAAATGTTCTTCCTACAACATGGCGTGGCTTTAATGGTCCAACTGCTATAGTTTCGCGTCGAGGACGAGTAGCTTGGAAAACAAAAAAGTTCTCTAACAGTGTGTTTCCTAGTCTGCAAAAAATAGCAGGGGTATTTGGCCCCCGTATAAGAATCGCCGAGATTCAACGTGCCAAGAGGATACCCACGTTTCCCATGCATGCGTATATATATATACACGTATATATGTAGATTAGGTAAGTCCTAGGTAGGTGTAGAGTATGCTAATTGAATACTCGTCACCAACCTGCCTGGTCTAGGCAGATCCGTCATTTCTCAACTCTGCCTCGCTTTGTAATCAACGCAATGCCACTGCAGCACCGGACTATTAATGGAATCAGTGCCTCGCGCATTGCCTACACCTATCTAAGACTCCCCGACGCACGCTTCCTCTGCCGACTGGTTGTTACGTTAGCGTAAAGGAGCGCAGATAATTTCAGGCGTCGCGATAAAAATATGCTTGACTTTCAACCGGGCGAAGCTGATGGTTCCATAGGATAGCGAGGGGCACTCGACGAAGTCAAAGAATTAAAGCTGAACTGCGCGTTTGAAATTGGCGCCGATCGGAAGGAACTGAAAGAATGGCAAGGAAGCTGCTGAGCAAGAACGATTTACGCAACGTATATATACCAAAGCGACGTTCACAGGTGAGTTACGACGCGCCAATGTCGTTCCTATGCGGTATTCACGATCGAATGGTGCTTGAAGCTATCAGTTTCAAATTGTATCCACCTATCGGAAGGGTATTGAAGACGTGAAAAAAAAAAGTTTAATTTTTTCAATTCAATACCTTTCAAATATTAGTATTACAAAAGTGTAACAAGGAGTACGATCCACGTACTCCTGTCTGCTGGACTTCTGGAACTGTATGTTAAAGAGTTAAAATTTATCCCATAGATTTTTTTCACTACTGACGTATACCTATATTATACGGCGCGATAACTTTTTAAATGTAAATCAACGTACAGTTAAATGCGTATCAAACTAAAAAGCAGATATCGTCGTTGTACGGAGCTGTTTATCGCGAGCCTATACAGATTATCTTTCGCGCCACGTACCGAAAAATTCTTCGGTGTGAGATGGGTTTTAATTATTAGGAGGAACATTGAGTAAACCACGCCTTTAACGTTATTCTTATAGCGTGCACGAGGATACGATGCGAGAATGAAAGAGAGACGTCTCTCTTTCGATACCCGTCAAACTCCTGCTTGTACTCGGTACACACGTGTATTCCAACGTCGTGCAGAAAAGAGTAAACACGTCGTTGCATAAGTATATCCGGCGATACGAGACTCTCTTAATAACCTTGGAATATAATATGGGAAAGCGTATTGGTCGCGAAAAATAACTGAACATGTGGACAGAAATAAGTCAATCGTGTCACCCTTATTAACCGAATGCATTACGCATGGGTTTCGTTCTACGAGCGCGTGGAGATTTGCGTAGGCACGATTCCTACCGCGCGTTAATTGTTACTTTACATGGTATTTTTCATATTAGTTTTTACCACGCGAATCAATGTGACGCGACTGTCTGATCTCATGCGAAGAATCCAGATATATTTTGCATTATCAGAAGTGTCACTGCCGTCGTGCGTCGTACGAAAACAACGGCACGTTAAGCGAGTTTCGCGCATGGAATTATAAGAGGATAAATGGTAGTTCCATATGTCGTAAAGAATCTCGTGATGAAAAAGAATATAAGAGTCAGATACATGGGATGAACTGTATAAGAAATATGGCAGACTTTAATATCTGACATTTTAAAAGATCTCTGTTAAATTGTCTCTCTAGCGTTAGAGTGAAGCGTGTTGGAAATTTGTTTTGAGATATTAGAAAAAAAAAAAAAATAATAAACATTTCAACGTGATCCTTATTGTATTATTTAGCGTCTAAGTGATAATACTTACTCCCTCGTGGTCCATAGAATTTTACGGAAAATTCGTTGAGTCCTCCTAAGATTGTCACCTCATGTTTGCTCTCTATTCTGTGGTGGAAGCTAAGGAAAATTTGTGTATCTCGCAGGGGCAATAAGATATAGGCAAAGCGCGACGCAGAATCATCAGTAAAAGTGCTAATTGACTTGAACACGCAGCGCCCACTCGGAGCCCTGCGTTCCACTATCAATCTCACGTAATGATCACACTAAGAATGACAGAGTGCTCTTAGCCTACGAGAGTAAAGGAGAGAGAAGACCTTATGAATGATTTGTAATCTAAATCTCAGTCTGTCCGATTTATCGACATTAGAAGCTCGTGGGTACGTGGTGGTAGGCGCAGCTCTTCGGGAACAGTACCAATTGACTTAAGCTCATTCTGCAGCTTTCGGGACTTCATCTCTCTGACTACCCGTCGATCAGGCCCGATTCACCTTGATAAGCCAGTGAAAGACTTTTTAAGAGCCTCAAAATGATTTTCGCTCTTGTTTACGAGTGAAATTATAGAATTGGCATCGCTCTCCTACTTACCGACCGAGTGAAACGGCCAATTACCATAGGAAAGCACGAATCGCACGAAAGCAAATGAAACGATAAGATTCATGAAGTTGTGATCTGCTCGTTAAAACGTTTATACTGAATCTTTCAAAATTCCAAATACTTTCAAGATGAAATCGTCTCTGTCGACAAAACGTCTTCTATCGTGTCTTCGCATCGTTTCTCTACGCTACGTTAAGCACGTTCCAATTTGTACCTCACTGGTAAACCGAATTCGTATACTTCAAAGCTACCGCACTATCTTTGCTAGGCGACAAAATCCAAGGGAAATCTTATGGTGCTATGTTCCGTTACCTTGGGTACGCGAATGCAAGTAAAAGGGGTTGACGCGGACGCGAAACCATAGTTCGAAGTTACATAGGTACGCATCAGAGATTCAGAACTCTCTCTGTGAGGTTTATTATCCGGAAAGTGTGTTCCGCGAAGACTGTGCCAGGGTTCTGTTAAGTCAGCAACGTGATTAGCCAAGGTATACTACAGTATAAGGTACCGAATGGTGAGAAGGAAACGATTGCTCAATGCCCATGGACCGTTATAGAACATTCACTGGAGAGCGAGTGTTGTTGTTTACAACGGTAATGTTTCGCCCACTAGCCCCCGTGTCGCTCTTATGGCGATCGCCCGTAATTTCTCGTTGGCCCATAGCCTTTTTTTCGTTGTTTCTTACTGCCGTTTCTCTTTTCCTTTTTCACTCGTACTCCCTCATCGTAGGGACCTTCGGCACAGTGGGACAGCACCAAAATGAAGACTACGTGGGTGATTAACGCTTGGAAAGTTTCGATATGGAGTTCTGATCATTCTCGAGATAATTACTTTATGCTTCGGTGTCCTTTTTTATTTTCACTGTTAAACAAGACCGTCGAGTAGCTTTTAACAGTTTTTTGTTTCTGTGGAACAACTAGGAAACGTGTCGAGGTCGATCGATCTGGCTTTTTGGAATGCTTCTGGCATTCCGCTCGAACCTGCTTCGGCACACTGGCCAACTGCGTCACGAGCTTAAACTCGGGAACCAATGGAATATCGAGGAACATTATGAAGACCAAGGTAGTAAAAGGCGCCGAATTTGAATGGCCCAGGGTGGATTATAGCTATATCTTTCAATTTCGTAGAACGTTTATTTCGAGGATAACAACAGGAATATCTATTCTGGTCGCTTTCTAATTGCGGAGGCAAAACGATCGCGAGTGTTGTTCGTTGAGATACGGCCCGTCCAAGGAAATATTTACTGCTGCCAGGCGGCAAGTAAAACAGAACAGATGATAAAAATTTGTATCACGCTAAAGATATGTCGTTTATAGAAAATTACATTGACGATCAATAATTACGCATTCAGGTACAATCAAAACTCAACACTGGTACATTTTTCCTTAAAGCAAAATTGTTTCAAAAGTTATTTCTATCGTACGATGAAAAAAAATTGACTAGTATACCGAGAAATCCCTTGGTTAGCTATGAAAATAAATTGACGTTTCAAATTCCTACTGATAAGATCAAAACCGAATTACAGATAATCGAATCGTGCTTATTCACGCTAAAATTATTGTCGCGTGCAATAAAATCAGATGGACCATCCCAACGAATGTTGAAGCAACCACGGTTGGTCTCTCGAGCATAAATAAACTGTGAGTCGTTTCGTGAAACAAAGACGTACAAAAAAAGAAAAAGTTCTTACAACGTACAAGATACGCACAATTTTATGAATATTCGTTGTTTCCAAAACCTCAACATTATCGGTACAATATCTAAGAGTATCACCTTGACGAAAACTAAGGATCGTAAGACAGCCGGCTAACCTTTTTTAAAAAAAATAATTTTTCAATTCTTACTCCAGTCTTTATCTAGAAGAATCAAAGATATGAGTCTTTTTTTAATTAAGAAAAATACTTTTGCGCACTGAAAAATACGTCTGATATAATTGACCCATCTGTACGGATTAAGGGTGCCAAAATTAATAGTACGGGGTAAGGGTTAACGCCACAGCTTAACTACCAACGGACCTACTATAGACGAAGGAACTTCTGTAATAACCGTACGTGCGCATCGTGCGTGAATTTCTACCTTTGTTCTACCAACCGACTGCGCGCCATTCCTTTGACAAGTGGCTGCGCACAAAAAGGAAAGCGTCCTACGAAAATATAGGGACAGATATATATGTATCGGTATACATATATCCGACTCTGTCCGATGGCGTATAAACGCGACAAAGGCCAATAACGACGGAATACAAGGTCTCTGGGTTCTGGCTTTGTGCATGAATCGGGTAAAGTAGGAAGGACGGGAAGTCAGGAGCGTCAGTAGTGGGGTTGTTAAGGTCGATCAGCTGGTAAAGAGCGAAGACAAAGAAGCATGCGTAACAGCGGACATAGTGAAGCACTTATATCCGATACAGTTATATTCGTATCTTCTCAACAGTTCATGAAAACAGCAGAGACACTGATAATGGGGAACAATGAAACAGACTATTTTTACTGGACAAATACCTCGTAATCAATAAAACAGAATGAAAAAGGTACAAGATACTTTTTAGTCTGACTTCGTTTCCAACGGCGTCGATATTAAGTAACGCACAATCGCGTAAGAAAACGCGTAACTATAGAGACACATAATCGTGGTTGGCCCAGCTGGGTTATCGGTAGTTAACCAAATGTATGTTTTTTTGGGCTATTAATTATTCACCGTGAGTTAATATTTTGAGAGGTTATCTTAGTACTATTCTGTTTTAAATTAATGTCGTTTTGGAGTACACTGACAACTTTAAGGAAACCTATTAATATATGAGCAAGTTTATACTTTGGATGGGCTGAATCGATATGAGCGAGTCTATCCTCTACACTTTCAATTTAAATTTGTTTTCCAGTTTGCCAAGGCCATAAATATATCACAAGTTTCATAGCTGAAGACTCACTGCCAACTGCTGTCATTGTGGAGCATTGCGAACGGAATGACGTATGAGTATATTTCCACAAGTGGAGAGTCTAAAGACCTCGCAGATGCAAATGCGAAAAAGACTAACCTTTCTACGTTCGATAACCTTTTAATAAATCTGTCTCGCAGAGACGACACGGAGGGATGAAGAATCTTTCGAATATTATGCTTAAAGGAACTACGCAATATCACGGAAAGAATCTGAATGATTCAGGTGCGAGTGAGCAAAGCTTGTGAAGTTTATTTTGGAAGCTACTGAAATTCGTTTAAGGCGTCAGCATACAAAAATTAATATTCCTATGTCAGAGTATGCGTATCAAGAACTACCACTGACGCCCACGTATTAAAAATAACGATAATAAAATTGAGGGATCATCGAAGTGACCTGAAGGCAATGACCTGACTTCATGTCAATTAGCACTCTTACCGGTTCTACATTTACGATGTTATCCAGGAATTACTTCATTATCTGGAAAGTGCGTGCAACGATCGAGTCACGTTCTCGACAAGTAACACAGTATTAAATCCTTTAAACTAAATTTCAAGGGCCCGTTATTTCGATCTAAGAATATCCCATCTACATCGAGAAACGCATACAGGAACGATTCAATTAACGTGCTACTGGAGTCATAAAAAAATTTTTTTTCAACCATGGAAGGTAAAACAGAGCGTACGCGGGTACCCGCAATCAGCTGGTTAAAAACAGCTGTGCCCGTCATCGGCGTAGGATCGAGTTAAATGTCCCTCTAGTTCCGATTGGTTGAGGCTAAAAACGCACTTTTGGTTGACAAACAACTAACTACTGTGTTGTAGAGTAAACAAAACGTGTTCGACCGTTACATACACATACATATCTGTGTATACACCGCAAAGCAGCCATGAGCATCACACACTTGGCTCTCGCGCATTCGATTACACATTACTACACACGTACAGTCAAGGATACAGTTTGATAACGTCCGTGTCCATACGTCGCTTGCCAGCGCTCGGAGACGACATATTTGTCTCAGCGATTAGAAAAATATTCGCGAGAGAGCCGTTCACGCAGGGTCCTCGGATCAGCTGAGTGTCTCAGCGGATCCACACCAGGAGCCTCCAGGAAGGCTCCTCTTAACACGATACAACGGTGCACCGTGTTTTTCTCTTCTCTGTCTCTCTCTCTCTCTCTCTCTCTATCTCTCTCTTCCTTCGTATCTTCTTTCTCTCTCTCTCTCTCTCTCTCTCTCTCTCCCTCTCACGCTCTCTCCTCGTCTCTCTCAACACCACCTCACTCTCTCTCTCTTTCTCGCACTCTGGTTCTGCCTCTCCCACTCTCTCCTTCTTTCCTTGTGTCCGTGTCCGTCGTGCTGCGTACCGAGAGATATCAGCACCGAAACAAAAGGAACACACACACACAATTATCAGTGACTACCGAGCAAGAAGAAAAAACAGGAGAGGATGATCTCCGTGCGTTGCCTCGACGTGGTTTCGTCGACGATCTTTTGTCCAGACAAAAGAGTACGATGATCTCTCGACGAATCCTACTGCAACCCTTTGTCCACGCGCACCAACAGAGGATCCTTGGCTAGTCGATCATTTCGTTTCACTCCCGAGTTTTCTCGCACAGTTCTATTGCTCTCTCCCTCTTTCTCTAGCACTCTTCACGCACACCAAATACCTTCACGAACTCGACGATCCGTAATGTCCCTTCGAACACCCCACGACCTGTCAGCCCACGGACTTCACCACATCTGACTACTCGCTGGACTGGACTCTCCTGTCCGATCCGTGCCAGGCATGCACACACACTCAAAGTCCCCGCTACTCCACGAATCACTACACTCGGCCAACACAATTCCTATCTTTGTCGTACCTTTCCTCGACCCACGGCATCGTCTACCCTGCGCCAATGAGGACTGATGGTTGCGCAAGTTGCGCGACCATGGTTTTGTATGATTGGCAGCCTGTTTTACCCTCTGAGTATGTTTATGCGGTTGAGAGGATTACTGAATCGAGATTTGAAAATGGCGGCGCTTCCTACGCTCGGAACTGACAGGAACGGTTACACGCCAATGTCACTTTCAAGCGGACGGATGCTACATTTAAAGGGACGGTAGATTATGCTTTGAGAGGAAAATTATTAAGTGAATAAAAATATGTAAACGTACCTTTGAAATAAATTCTGTGGTAGATCGTTGATTTTCGTTTTAACAGTGAATCAAATTATCTTGACAGGGATATGGTTTAACCTAGTAGCGATACGATTTTTGCAATACATTAGTGAATCTACGCTATATAATGTTTTTGCTTGTTCACCCTCTTTGGGGCAGAAAAACTCTTGAGAGGAATTCTTTTGCAGACAAATTTATTATCTGTTAGTGCAGATTCTGACATTCCACGTTTGTCAGCAGTTTGACAGCGTCAAAACAAAACACGGGATACTTTCAAGATAAATTCTTATCAACTGCTAATACATGCTCGCAGTAATTGATTGATAGAAAATGCTTAGATGAGTAGAATACCAGCCACACATTATACGACTGTATCATTTAAATGTTGTCTATTCTTACCGTATAAATACAGTTTCTTATAAAACAGCTTTGAGCACAATCGCAATTTTAACTGTTGCGATGTTGTGCAGGACAGAGAAATTCATATCAACTAATATCACATCAAAGAAATTCACGTCAATAATTTCTGTCTGTTGAATATTTTGCTATGATTCGCACTCCAATTATATATAAAAATAATATATAATATATGGTTTTTACGTCAATATACGTACATAAGACGATTGAATACCGATCCGAGTAGTTACTGACTTGTACCAGAGACGACGCCATGTTGAATGGGGTTCTAATGAAGCTCAAGTGAAAGTTTGCTTAGAGTTCAACATCTATAACAGTAATATTTCTATGCCGAGTAACTACACAGAGCCATGTGGTTTGTTTGAAATATAAAGTTATTTGGAAAATAACAGAAACTATAAATTGAGGATCATGTCATTTTTTATAAGAAATAGCAGGGGAGGTGGAGCACCTAAGAGAAAGGTATTTATATCGATTTTAATCAATTTTTATATCTATAAAGGGACTTGTTCTGCAAGAAATTCATGTTTTCATAGGTTAGTTACTGTGGATTAATTCGCTTCATATATATTTTTCAGTCTTTCATATCGTATCATATAATTTATATTATATATATAACTTATGGAATGGAAAAAAATTGTTCGTTTTTGTTATTTACATTTGTGCAAATATATTTTTGCTATAAAGCGTTTATAAGTTAAAATAAGATTGAATGAGGATTTTGCAATCTGTATGATTTGAAAAGTAGATATATCTATTTTCAATATTTTTTATACGCAGTTTAACGGTCGTGCTGGGAAAGGGATCACAAATGGTCCAGCTTTAAAAACAAAGAGAACAGAAAATAAAAAATTCATTCCTAATGACGATGAGAGTATTGCAAGTAGCGATGAAGAGTTTGCAGAAGAACGACAAAGGTTTGTTTGATATTTACTAGTATTACAATAGTATTATAAGTAGACATTGCTTGGAATTCAAATGGCATGGATTTTTTCTTCAGGGAAAAGGACAAAGATTTTGAAGACGAATCTGAAGAAGAAGAAGAGACTGCCCAAGAAAAACGCTTAAGATTAGCGAAAAAATATCTTAAGGAAATAGAAGAAGAAGGTAAGCATTTTATATGCATAATAGTCATTAGTTTAGTTCATGCATCATTGTAATTTTGGTGGTTTACATAGAAAAAGATAGGGCGGAATTTGAAGAAGGTGCAGTTTCAAGGAGATTGCAAGAAGAATATTTGGAAGAGAAAGGACGTTTAAGAAAAACAGTTGCGAGTAATTATGTTGGTCACAAAGAACCAATTGTGTTAAAATGTAAGGATCACAAAGATTCCATTACATGTCTTTGCCTTTCCAGCAATGGAACATTTATATATTCAGGATCTAAGAATGGTAGTTTAGTGAAATGTAAGTACGTTGCGAACATTATTTTACCATTATGCAGTTGCATTATTTACACTATTTTGATTCAGGGTCTATGTCCGATAAAAGTAAATTGAAAGTTCTCAAAGGGAAAGGAAAAACAAATGATGGAATTAAATGCGTGCGATGCATAGCCATTAGTACAGATAGCAAATTTTTGGTAATTATAAAAGTAATTCAATGTATGAAAAATTCTAAAAAAAAGTATGCAAATAAATATTATGTTTGCACTTTGTAGGTAGTAGGGGATACTGCTTCGAAAGATATTAAAATATTTTCTGGTGATGATTTAAGTCATATAAAGAATCTTCAAGGGCATCGAGGCCCAGTAACAGGGTTAGTTTTTCGAAAAGATACACATACATTGTATTCAGCATCGGAAGACAGAAGTGTTAAAGTGTGGAACTTAGATGATATGGCCTATGTGGAATCTCTGTAAGTACTTCATAATACAATAAAGTCAACAATATTGAATATCGAAATATCATACATACTGAAATATAACTTTATTAGATTTGGTCATCAAACTGGAATTACGTCCATAGATGCACTTTCACGCGAGCGTGCGATAACTAGCGGAGGGTTTGACAAAACTGTTAGAATATGGAAAATCGTTGAGGAATCACAATTGATATTTAATGGACACAGTGGCAGCATCGATGTTGTTAAACTTATAAATGAAGAGAACTTCTTAAGCTGCGGTGCTGATGGCCAATTGTGTGTATGGGGTTCTTTGAAGAAGAGGCCTCTTTGTTCTGTGGCAGAAGCTCATGGCAAAGATGAAACCAATGGACAGCCAATGTGGATTTCTAGCATAGCAACACTGCTAAACACTGATTTAGTGGCATCAGGTATGAATCTTTTCTACATCGTTTGATTATTCATCGATTTAATTTCTTTCATTGATGTGCAAATAGTATGAAATTGGAATAATTTAAGTGTAGCTTCCGTTTTAGGTTCGAATGACGGTGTTATTAGATTGTGGCAATGTGGAGAATCGTTTAGAGCGTTAAATCCACTTTTTGAAATAAAGTTAACAGGTTTTATTAACGCACTGGCATTTACACCAGATGGACATCATCTAATAGTTGGGGTTGGTCAGGAACACAAGTTAGGTAGATGGTGGCGTATACCCGAGGCGAAAAATAGTATTGTCGTCATACCTTTAATACAAAATAAAGCAAAGAAATAAAATTTTGATATATTTATCTCGCTGTCGACTGTATATACTTCGAATTAAAAATAATGTATGTTAAGTTTTATTTTCGAAATTATAATCGTTGACTGATAGTAAATTTTCGGTCTTCAAGTAAAATATTTTTGCGCAAGCCCAAGAGAAAGAAAAGAAAAAAGGGAGAAGGACGCAGATGTCCGATAATTTACTATAAGAGATCGATTCTCGGAAGACCGAAGTTAATATCGATGTAATTTTCCTCATACCTATTATTGTCCTCTCCCACTCGAGTATTGATCAACAAGCGCTAACCTGCTACAAATGTTTCTACAAGTTATACAGTAAGCATCCACGATGCCGTAGATAGAGGATCGTTGTCAAAAGACGCCAATTGGTTACTATTCTCATTTCAGGATATCAATGGCTCACTCTATAAGTAGCCATTGATAAATTTGTCGTAGGAGGTCAGCACCTGGCAATGGCTATTGAAGTGCAGTCGGTAACTCAGTCTACGGATGTCTGCCATACCCAAGCTCACGTGACACCAAAGACGGTAAAATTCTTTGTCTATTTATCCTCAGTCAACGATAAGTCTATATGAGCACATTGTGCTGCATTTTCTTACTCGTTTAAAATATCATACTGTAGAGCGCGTTAGTTAACATCAACTTGCAAAAATCAGTACCCTGATATTGCCTTGTTTCCTGGAACTCAGGATGCGCACAAGGTTCTGCCGTGTACGAATAAAAATGCTAATTAAAATTGTAATATGACAAACGATGGACGCATTCAATAAGGAAAAACAGTACGTAATTAAGAGAGCTGATGGTTCAAATTTAATATCTTCTAGTGCATCGACTAATGACCGTTTACGATCTAATGGTTTCACGGGATAAACGAAATCGTAACGTCATATATTGTTCTATAGGGTGATAAGAATTATTAAATTTCTTTTTCTTGCACTGTATTTTGGAAAATCACGATATGGCGATCAGAATAATATTTAGTAGAGGTTCTCCAAAAAATCTGAAATACATAGAAATGATAAATAAGATACATGCAGGGTGACGTGATATTTAACAGCGACCAAATTCAAAATAAGTGGGAATTAACACGCTTTAACGCTACATGTCAGAATGAAATGAAAGAAATATTGGTCCACAGTACAAGTATTTATTTATTCTGTACAAAAGTTGAGTTATAAAATATTATGTCCCATTTTAGGTCTTGTTCTTAGTCTTGTATACCATACCGTCTTGAGTTCGTTCGTATAACAACAATATGCTGTGCTGAACGCGGATGCACACAGAGGAGGCGAGAATCGGAGCGTTTATGTGTTCTCTGCATAATGCGTACAAGTACGTTGCGCCAGTGTGCGCTAATTTATAATCTTTGATAATGATCATCTTGAACCAGACACGATTTCCGCACGTGAAGTAACGCGCCTCCGTGTAGGCACACGCGTCCTTAATGCTTACGCCATTGGGCACACCGCTGTACCATCGACGATTTCTCACGTATAGTCGCGTTAACAATTAGTACAACAATTATTCATCTTCGTGCTTCGTTAAATTTCAAACGAGTGTGATAGGCCCTTCGTATCGCTGCCGTAGTTGAGATTCTTAATAGACCGAGAGGGTGAGTGTATGCCATATTATTTGTTCTCTCTTATTTTTATCGTACACACTTTCGAACAAACTTGCGGCAAATCATTAAAGGATCATGCACTTTTATTTTTCATCAAAATCCATTGTTCGTTTAATATCGCACCGTTGGCAAGTATCAATTATTTCGTTCACTCACTCATTATTATTATTATTTTTTTTTTCATTCAAACAAACCCATAACTGAATTTGCTCTTAGCTGCGAGGCGAGTAGGTTTTAACACTCGTGTCCAGAACGCACATTTACAATGAACGTTACAGAGAAAATACTGTAATTCGCATATTTTTGCAATATTCATCGAGCACGCGTTACCTGAGTGAAATTTTTCAAAATTAATCTCGATCTAGCATCGTTTACTTTAGGCCAAACTAGATGATCTTCTTTTCTTCACAATTACTCAGAATGTAATTTACAAAAATTCGTTGATACGAGAAGGAGACACATGAAATTGATAATAACTTTTAAGGCGCCGAATTTCACAATTAGTCTCTTTTTAGGCATTCTTCGAATCAATTAATTAAACGTATCAGGCACAAACGAATTGAACTCGAGATTGTAGCTAACTCCTAACAGAAACTCGATACATTCTTACGACAGTCTAGCTCGATGAACAATGCATCCTTATCAAAGATACCGAAGATTACCGCAAGTACGCTTAAAACCAACACTCACTAAATACAAGATGTTCCTTTCCTTTCAATATTTACGTCACTTAAACCAGGCATGTTGCAACCATAGACTGAATCGAGCAATCGAGTCCCTTTACGCTTTCAATCGTATCGCCTATGCTCCATCCTGACCATAGGAAACTGACTAGAATTTACGGGCAAACACACTCCTGATTTCCCTCATCAATTTTCTCCATCCAATTCGAATCTATCGATTCAAAATAAACTTGACAATTTTTCCCATCAATAAATGAATCCTCGGACAAATACAAATCTACGTGTAATAACGCGTGCGTGCCATTAACACCGTCAAGATCTCTATAACTTTCAGTGATTATTTTTTTTAACTTCACTTAAATTTTTTTTTCTTTTTTTACTAACGCAAAACCATGCGAGCAATGTACGGTTGGCATTTTTTTTCTTCTTCTTTTCACGCATTCACCAAGATGTAAAATTAATAAGTCGCCCAGGTCGTTTCTCGTCTCTTACGATGCGTTACTTTCAAATCTTCTCGATATCCTCCAGTTATCGTAAGTGCGTGCTTGCGTGCCAACGTGCGTGCATCTCACTCCTCCTATTTACTCTCTGCGTAAAGAGACGAAAGGATACGGAATAAGGACACGAGATACGCGTCTCTCCCTTGTTGCGTTATATCGTGCATGTAAACACGCATAAGATCTCTACGTCTCGTTTCGTCTCCTTCGCGACAAACCAGCATAGTTTTATGGCTGTATTTTGTGTGGTGTGTGCGTGCGCGTATGTGTTTTTCCGTATCTTTGCCCTGTTCACTTTTTTCTTCCTCCCCCCTTCCCTCCCCCCCCCCCCCC